TCATCTCTTTTTACTCAGTCTGCCGGTGTTCCTCAAGGTAGTATCCTAGGTCCTATCCTTTACACAGTTTATACAGCTGATATCCCAACCCAATCCAACACTGTCATCACCACCTATGCCGATGACACGTGTATCCTATCAGTTAATAACGATCCTTTAATTGCATCCCAAACTCTTCAATCACATATCACAAGCCTTGAAGAATGGTGTAAAAATTGGAGAATAAAAATAAATTCCAACAAATCCCATCAAATCACCTTTACCCTCCATCGTAAACCTATGACCTCTTGTCCTACAGTATCCTTCAATAATACTCCACTTATTCCTGTTGAGCAAATCCGCTACTTAGGACTCCACCTTGACAAACGACTCACTTGGAACCCCCATACCAGACTGAAACGACTAGAAACCGCCCGACGTTTTCGACTACTGCAGCACTTACTAGACAAACGATCTAAGCTTTCAATCAATTATAAACGACTCGTATATATGACAATAATAAGACCTATTTGGACTTACGGAATTGAGCTTTGGGGCTCCACTAAACCATCGAATTCCTCTCGTATCCAATCTTTACAATCCAAAATCCTTCGTAAAATCCTCAACGCTCCTTACTTTGTCACAAATAAAATCATCCATAAAGACCTTAATGTTCCATATGTTTCCGATCTGGCCCAATCCAGATACATTTCCTTCCATAACAAACTGCAGAACAATCCGAACCCTCTCGTTTCAAACCTTGCTTCCTCCTCGATCCCCGATAACCCTCCGAGGCGTCTGAAAAGAAGATGGCCTCGGGATCTTCTAATATAGAACTTTAATTTGAGTTCTACCAATGGGTAGTTTCTCTTCATGTTTTACATGCCATGTTACAAATTTCTCATTTACTTATTGTATTCTCTATGTAATACAGTTGTAAATTCCATTAAAATAATAAAAAAATAATTATTAATTGGTTTCATTTTATGACAAACCAAAATAACAATTAACCAAATATTGTTGAAAATAAAAATAAAATAAATTAACGCCGTGGCGTTAACAAATATACTACATCAATCGTTACACAATGGACGTAATCCGTAATAAATTATTTAAACAATTTAGGTTATAGATTGTATCAATTGCTGTCATCTTGTATTAAAAATGCTCATAACTCAAAGGACAAGGCTATCTCTGATGGCATGAAACATGTTGTATAAAAGCGATAGGACACAACAAGACCTCTTATCAGACCTTAAGGAACAATAACAGATTTCGGCAAAAGGACCCTTTCTCACATACTTCATGTAATTATTAAATTACTGATTTCTATTACAGCTCTCTTTCAACTTTCTTTATCCCCTCCCCTATTTCTGGGTATATTTATCACTGTGGTCCTCAGAAAAAATCTTGCAGTTACATTATTGTAGTCCCACTCATGCCAGGGGATCTACTTGAATTAACTTTTTTATTAATTTTGTTTTCATAACCCCTGAAAAAAAATTTTTATTTGTATTCGCCTCTACCCTAGAGGGTCATTGGCGGTTTTTCTTGATTTTTATATTTTACTATAGTGATTTGTTTCTAATAAATATTGAAAGATAATGACGACATTTTCCTCCTTGACTCCCAAAATATCTTTCAATGTTGTCGATAACTTTAATTGTTGTCTCTTTTTTTTATATTGGGGGCACTCTAATAGTACATGTTTAACTGTTTGAGGTGTATTGTCACAGTTTTCGCAGGTTGGCGCTTCGAGTCCTCTAAGTAGGTATCCATGTTCATTTTTAATATAATATTTATTTTTACGGTTCTTTTTCCTTTAGCTGAAGCTGGACTTCATTTTAAGGAGTTCTGTGTTATTTCTATTTGATAGTTATAGTTATTTTGTGTTGGAAAAGGCTACCAAGAGGAAAAGGATTTATACTACCAAATAAATTATAGTGTAGATGTTATAGCATTTTAGAATTTAACCAGAAAAGTATTTGTTCGCTATTCTGACATCTTATTGTAGAATCTGCAATAATAATAATAACAACAATCATTTTTATTTAATTTTCTCTTTAAATCAACAACTATGATGTATTTACGTTGAGTAAAATGACATGGGGGTTAAGAAAATAATGGTTAATAATAGAAAATAATATAATATGGTTAATAATGGAAAATAATGACATGGAGATTAAGATTAGAGGTTCTTAATTCAACACTAGATAAAATCGAAAACGGTGGTATTTATATTAGAGATCTTAATATTAGAGATTATCCTTTCCGATAGCATTTTTAACTTTCCCGTTGTTATTAACAATATTTGATTAATGATCACTATTTTTTTTTTCAGTTTAGATATTGTATTAATTCTTCATCATATTTTTATTAAAGTACAACTTTCTGCAATCTTCGAAAATTGGACAAATGACTTAGAAATACAAATTGTTTTTTACTTCTTCCAAGTTACTTAATGGGCGGGCACGTATATACATAGCCTATATTATTTCTATTACAATTCGAATTTAATGTTTCACATCTTGCTTTGAAAATCCTTTTAATATCCAATATGTTCTTACCCACATTTAAATAATATAATATAAAGAATTAAATAGTAAAGAATTTTTTTTAATTGTCTCATTAAATCAACAACTGTGTTGTATTTACGTTGAGTAAAATGACATGGAGGTTAAGAAAGTAATAGTACGAAATTAACAATTAAAAGTCTATTTATAATTTTTTAGGAACTATGAAGACTTATATGGATGGAGTCTAAGTCTTGAAATATGATAAAGTAAAGGATAAAAGAAAGAATGGAATTCCAGAGATCGGATCATGAATGATCTGTCGAATTTGATAATAATATAATATAATCCTGGTTTGGAAGCGCGCTTGATTGATTATCTTCTTATCAAATCCTATGATTTGATAAGAAGATAATCAAGAATGTATGATAGACGAAGGAATTGAATATTATTAATATTAGAGGGTACTTAATTCAACACTAAATAAAATCGAAAACGGTGGTATCGCTTGGACTCAAATACAAGTCAGTTAACCAGAATTTTTTGTTCTGTGTTCAGATCCTAAGAAATCCTTCCATATATATATATATATATATATATATATATATATATATTATATATATATATATATATATATATATATATTAAAAAAATCAAGGAGTAAATCATGGAGATATAGATGTAGGCATTGGATGATGATGATAAATAATAACCTTTGAAGTAGAAATGTGAGGCCGGAACCGGAAGACATTTTTTTTTTTTTAGGAGGATCATTATCAAGACCGGCAAAAGACAACCCACTTAATGACTCACTACCTCCTTAAACAGTGTGAGCCAACTCTTAGGACGGTGTGGCAGACTGGTCTAACGTGTGTACAATGCAGACATGATAACCTGAAGATAACGGGTTCGAGTCCGGTCCGGGGGCAATTTAAATTTGACAATAATCACACGTCCGGAAAAAAACCCTTATAGCAAAAAAAGGCGAGGTAGGTAGAACAGAAAAAAAAAAGTTTTCATCGTGAGATCAAAAACCGCGTTTATCCACGTTCCAATTATACACTCCAACCATATTTCTTCGTAGGTCATCTAATAATCTTCATCCCATAAATTTTATGTGAGATCATCGTTTCAGATATGTCCTGTGTGAAAATATCCCTTCTAAAACCTTCCTATCTTGTAGCTTAGGCAGATATGGATTACTCCTTTGTTTATTCTTATTCTCATTTATATCCTTTGTTTGTATCCTATTCTTCCTGCGGGGTACCTCTTAGAGTGGACCATATCCTAATCGAATGTTATGCATTCAAATCCCTTAGGGATCAACATCATCTCAGAAATAGCTTTGAAGAATCACTCGAAAAACAACCCAATGCTATTAAAAACTTAATATTGTTCCTTAAGGAAATCAAAATATTTCACAAAATTTAATACCACAAGACCGTGATACCACAATCACATCTTGTAATTGTAAATGTTAAGTTTTTTAAGTTTGTAGATTCCTCTACAAATTCTAAATATACCTGTTATTTTTTCTTCTTTTAATCATACTTTTTAATTATAACGGTTTTTTGAATTTTTCTTCTTGTAATTTTTAATATTTAAATTGTTCTTTGTAGCTTTTCTTCTTTTAATATTAATTTTCTTTTTTAAACCGTATTTTTAGATTATATTCCTGAAATCATTAACCTCTTATTTAAATGCCATTGTTAACTGTTAACTTATCTTTTTCTAATCTTTAATGTTTAATTTTAATGATTCTTGTACTTTTTAATATTTACACTGTATTCTTTAACTTTGCTTCTATTCATATTAATTTTTATTATTAAAAAATGTATTTTTTAGCTTTTAATTTTAATATCATTAATCTTTATTTTTATTGTATTTGTTAACTTATCTCCTATTAAATCATTAACTTTCAATTTTTATAATTTTAGTTCAATTACACTATCATAATCATCTGTAACTATTCTAAACTTTTCAAACTTCAAATTGTATTTCTTAGCTGTAGTTATGTTTTGTGTGTATTGATTGATCAAATTGTAATAAAGGGCGAAAATGGCCGAGGTGGTTGAAGAGCCCAAAACATGTATAAATAAAATAAAATTCTTATTCTAATTTACGTCCATTTTTAATAGATTCGCCGTAAAATTTTGCTCTCAGACACCAGAGGCATTTCCTCTTCCGATGCTTTTTCAGGATGCTGTTTTTATAATTTATATCTTCGTTTCTCAATATTTTTTTGCATGGTCTATCTCAGCAACATTTTTTATGCTAATTCATTATTGATATAAAACAAAAATAAAGTAGCATGAAGAAGGCTACCCAGTAAATGTATACAGTGGTAATGGAGTATTACGCTTATAATACAGGTGTTAGATACCTGTAATATTTAAACGTTTGATAATGTCTGATATGCATGTGTTACTCTTAAAATATCGATAAAGATAAAGAGATAAGTGGTATTATAAATATGAAATAGATACAGAGACCTGATATTTAGTGACAATGCTGACTGTCGTGCTGTGTGTTGCGGCCTTGGGGCACCTCGTCCTAGGAGAGAACCCCCAGGTCACCACCTCCTATGGTACCATGAAGGGGCAGGTCCTCAAGTCTAGGGATGGCAAGGACTTCTTCTCCTTTACCAGCATACCTTACGCCAAACCACCTGTCGGAGAACGGAGGTTCATGGTGAGTGTGGTGGTTCTTGCTCCAATATCAGATACATACAGGATATTAGATGAACACTCTTGACAATCCTTTAATCCATGACGGGACATATAAATATAAATCAATATTAGTTCACGAAATCTAGTCATAAACATGAAATGAAAGATACTTCCACAAAGTACGATTTTTGCAATTCAAATTTTTTGATATAGGCGTAGTTAATAGAGTTTAAAAAAAAATAATACACTCTCTTAATACGTGACTTAAAATTATTATTTAATTAAAAGTGGTGTAATATACTTTAATCTTAGGTAAGTACTTTAATTAATTGTGCTTCTAAAAAAATGTGTATCATACAACACTACACATGCGTGTTTTGTTTTTAATATTTCTAGTCTGATAGATGACCTCGGAATATAATCAATAAAACGGTGATCGACGAGCACTAGGTTGAAAATGTATTTTTATTTATTTTCAGCTTTTCGATCAAAATTGATGGTTTTCTCTTGGAGGTAGTTAAGCAATCATATCTCTTCTAAATATAGTTCATATATGCATTTTAAGTGATCTCTTGCGACCTATTGTGAGATTCATTGTTGTGTATAACCTTCCTGAAGGATTGCTCGGCGCAACATATCCTTCATCTTAATCTCCCAGCCTTCATTTCTTATTGATGGAGTGTTTTCAATAATGAGATATTGATTGACCAGGTACATATAAGTAATTTTCTGTTAGTCCTTCTCTACGGGTTTATGCTTTGATCTCAAATCTCTTTGCTTATTGTACCAAATATTTTTCTATGAAATCTTTTAATACTTATTCCATGGGTGCTGGTTATTGTCCAAATAAGTTTTATCACAGTATTTTTGCTTTCATGTTTATATGTAATATATAGTAATGGTAAGTATTGCGATCGTGAAAATTTCCGAATCTCAGTTTTCAACGAAAATACATGTTTTTAGGTTCCCTGAGTTCAAATAAGTGTCGCAAAATGGTCTGTGTGTGTGTGTGTTAACAGTCTAGCTCTTAAACGGAAAGTAGTACGAAACTGATATTAAGTATTTAAGGTTTGTATATGGGCCGGATGTTACAGCAACCTTTTTGTTAAAATCCGGAAGTGCCACTTCATATGAACGCTGAAACACATTTTTACAATTTTCTCAAAAACCGCTCTAACGATTAGGTCTTATCCCCGTTGATGTCACCGTACAGGGCTTAAATGCCCAATGTTCATATATGTCTTCCTCTAAAGTACCTTTAATATGGTTTATTTTAAAAAGTTAATCATTTCGCATTGTTCAGACTTACGAAAAAATGCTAAATATAACTTTTGAAAGAATTTGATAAGTCAATAAAGGAGAAAAAAAAAATGCAGGAACACCTGCGTTGTTATAGACTGTAGCGCCTAAACGAATGTACCGATTTCAATGATTTCTCAGTTCTATATTTCAACACTGCAATCACCACCTCCGGAATCAAATTACTCATTGTCTGCATAGATAACTTTTTCAAATAAAAATATCACTAAAATGACATTACTCAAAAATGTTGAAATTGGAGTTAGTCATTCAGTGATTTATAAAAGCAGATGGAGTGACTAGATTTTTATTGTCTATCGTCGATATATTAAGTAGACATTTTGTAATTATAATGGTCTTAATGACTTGTTATCTGTAAGCATTAAGCTTTAGCTCCGTTTAAAATGCACTTAAAAAAAAATTATAATAGCCCAGCATTGCCAGAAAATAATTTCTATTCAAAGTAGAGCGGTAAGTGATAGTTGTGTGTTGCGTTCACCAGATTTTTTACCTTTGATTTCAGATTTAATTAGAGATCTTAATATTACATATTATCCGTCCCTATAGCGTTCTTACATTCCTCTCTATACTAGGTTAGGAAAGTATTGCGATCGGGTCAAATTTCCAATATGCGGTTCTCAATGGAACTATACGTTTCAGAGTCCCCTGAGTTCGAAAAATGCATTTTTAGTGATTGGTCTGTCTATCTGTGCCAAGATTTTCTCGGGAACTAGTGAACCGATTACGAACAACTATTAACGAAGTTATAGATATTCGATTTCCAATGTCAGATTACGGGTTCACATCCTGGTGTCAAAAGAGGTTGAATGAAAGAAAAAAGATAACGAAGTGAAAGTAAGGAAAGCTGTTGACCGCATCACACAAGCTTCACTGTCTCCGCTACTTTTAACAGAAATTATTGTTTGACAAAATTAGTCTATGACTAAAAGTTTTTGATCAGCAATATTAGAGGGTATTGAAATTTGTATCATCCGTAAGCCGGTTTACATTACTTTAGTTTATCGAATAAATCGTACTCAAATCTTTTCTTTGATCAATTTTCAGGAAAATAAATCTCATTCAACTTTTTTTTGTTCCTTGATGGACATATGTAAAGATATAAATACTTTTCCAAAATAGGCAGTAAAGTCGTGTGAGTGGACACACCAGATTTTTAAATTGTGGTATAATAAGATATACATAAAATATAAATAAACTATTTTATCAAACCATACCCAATAGTCCCGTTGTTATTAACAATATTTGATAAATGATAATTATCTTTTTTTCTATTTAGATATTTTATTAAGTCTTCATTAGGCAAAATATTTCTTTTAATGTGCAACTTTCTGCAATCTTCGAAAATCGAGCAAATGACTAAGAAATACAAATTGTTTTTTACTTATTCCAAGTTACTTAATGGGCACGTATTTAATGTTTCACATCTCGCTTTGAAAATCCTTTTATTTTATTTCATTGTATTTTAGGTGCCGTGTGCAACTTTATTGGTTAGAGGTTGATTTTTGAATTACATTTCAATATGTCTTATGTATTTATAATCCTTTTAATACCTAATATGTTCTTATCCACATTTAAATAATATAATATTTTATAATTAAATCCTCACGCAGTTGTTTCTTAATTAAGGAAATGTTTGTTTCATTAGCTGTAATCCGGTATTTTATTAACTGGGCGCTTAAATCTTAATCCTCGTAGAAAAATATTTTGTTTTCAATTATTCCAATACCAATGAAATTTTCAGTTGTTGAAGTTATCGGAACTTAAGGCAAGTTTCTTCTCATTTCTGCCATGTTTGAGGATTGCATCTGAGACTTGTAGTAAAACAGTCGTGGATCAGTTCGACTGGGATAAGTGGAGTATTACTGAAGGAACTGCAGGATATGATGTAGTGGATTAAGTACAAAGTGTAAAAGTTATTTGGTACTATTTCTGGAGATTACTTTAATTATGTAGTTTTGAAACCATTCTTCAATGAAAATGACAGGGCTGTGGAGTTGTGTCAATATAATCTGAAAACTCATTCTATTAAGATATATAGTGAGTCAACTGTATAAATTTTAATGTGTAAAATACAGGATTAGCGAACCTCATCTCCGTTATAAATAGTTATTGATTTGTTTCAGTAATTTAGTAATTAGTTTAAATTCTATTGCATGATTTTTTTTTCACAGATCTCTGAGAAAGCAGATAACTGGACTGGGATCTTGGACACAACCAAACCCATCCCAACTTGTTTTCAGAGAAATCAATGGACTCCAGAACCACCTACTCTAGGGCAAGAGGACTGCCTGTATCTGAATGTTTTCACACCCAAAGTATGTTAAGATTTACAAGATCAAGTTTATTTATAGGATGCTTATTAGACAACTAACAGTTCTTTAGTTCAACGCTATCGAAAAAAAAAATCTTATCGAACCATTTCCATCCATCTTTAAAAAATCCCCGCAGCACCTATTTTTTTTTCTTTTTTCGTCCTGTTTCTATGAAGAGCTGAAATGTCTTTATCCTTCCTATCGCCGTATTTCCTAACATCCTTCCTCTTCCAAGTAATTCACTCCCGCCGTCATTCATACATCGCCGAGCTCCTTCAATTTAAATCCTCTGTCCACTCCCGCAATACCCGTTCCCGGTCCTCAGATCTATATATAATGGCCCTCCGAACCGCTGCTTTCCATAAATCTTTTATTATCCAATCCTCAACCCTATGGAATTCCATCCCTCCCCACATCCGTCAATCCAAAACCCTTCCTACCTTTAAATCCCGACTGTTTGATCATTTCTTATCCATCCAGTCCTCATAAAATTGTAAATAGTTACTACTGTAAATATGTATATAAATTATTAGATCGTTCTTTAGTATTTTTATTTCACGTTTATTTTCATTTTTTTTTTATTTTTTATTGTTAACTGATTTAAATTAGAAAGTAACTTATAATTTCTCTTATTATTTTTTTATTTTATTTTTTTCTATTTAATCAAACTATATTCTTGTTTATGTATCTCTGAGGCTCCTTAGCCCACATTTTTGTCTCTCTGTATTATTCTAAAGGGACTCGTCCCAGAATAAATAAAGCATTATTATTATTATTATCATTATATCTCTTGTCCTTCGGTTTCCACCAAAAGTCTTCTAATAGCTCAGTAAATCTCTCCTGTTGATGAATTCGGTGTTCATATATAAACGACAAACCAGGACATGATTCAAAGTGCGCGTGTGCCACATCAATGGCGGACCTTGCAGATTTTACCAGGACTTTGCTACACCTATTTTCTGTAAATATTTTTTAATACATTTTTTATGTAAATGCTGAGTGAACACCCTGAATCGTGTAACTGCTTCTTTTCATGCTTTATTTATTGGTATGTGTTCCTCAATAGATCGACTTAAGTTCCACCTGTAACACGGTCCATTGTTTACGGAAGAGTGTATGTCTTCTCCTCAAGCAACTTACTTTATTCAGAATTTCTCTATTTCCTTCATCCCTTGGTGGATAATATGCTAACCTATTCTCCGTGCAGAATTCGGTCGACCCCCACCTTCGCCAAAGCGTTCGCTATGTGATGATTACTGTGCAGTTCACAGTGTTAATAACAGTTCTTCTGTGATGTCCTGTTCATTTTAATAAATACATAGAATCCTTATATTCTTCAATATAGATAATCTAATTATCGAAAACTATGAAAATTTTCAGTTGACTGGAAAATATCCTGTTATCTTCAGTATACACGGAGGTGGCTTCAACTCTGGATCAGCGGCTGGTTTCGGTTCAGCCAAATTTTTTATGGATGAAGATGTAGTCTTCGTTGCTGCTAATTATCGACTTGGAACTATTGGTATAATGCAATGAAATTATCACATCGTATCCCTTAGTTGCAGACATAATTAAGCTATCGTATATATTTTCGTTCTCAGGATTTCTTAGTTTTGAAGATAAGGTTATACCTGGAAACAATGGCCTCAAAGACCAAGCGTTGGCACTGGAATGGGTTCGGAAGGAAATTAGTGCGTTTGGAGGTGACCCGAATCTTATAACCGTCATTGGTGAAAGTGCTGGCGGTGCCTCATCAAATCTTATATGTGCAGCTCCAAGAACGAATGGTGTGTTACACTACAAATCCTACTATATATTCATTTCTATATATATAATAACTTACATGGTTAATTTTAGGTATCATCAAGGGTTGTGTGTCCCAAAGCGGAAACGGCTGGACACCTTGGGCAATCTTGAAACCCGGTGAAGGAAAGAAAATGGCCTTAAACTTGGCAAAAGCAGTGAATTGCACAGAAAATGGACTCCTTAAATGTCTGCAAGATAAACCTATTGAACTCGTTGGCGACATGTCTTTACTCCAGGATGTAAGTTAGCAGAGAGACCACGTTCCCACACTACTCAATTTAAACAAAGTTGACTACTGACCTGATGCACTGTAACTTTAAAATGCCCTCATTTTTTAGAACAACACGGTTGTGACTAATCCTTCTCCAGTTTTGGAATCTGCTGATGGACCTGGAGCTATTTTGACGAGTTGGCCAACAGCGGCAGATCATAAATACCCCTGGATCATCGGAGTGTGCCAGGATGACGGAATGCTCTTTACCGGAGGTGAGTTAGTGATTTGAACATAAATTCTCAATATCTCAGCGATGTTTTCCAACAACAATACCTGATTCTTTATCATAGAGAGCTTGCCTATATCTCCAGGTTCTTCGAATGATATTCTTTAACTACTATCCACCCAAATTTATTTGAAGGAACTACTGCATTCAGGAATGCCGCTGGGAGGTTGGGGAAGGGAGGGGGTTCATGGCGCAAGTTGTGGCATCAAAATTTTTGAGGGGGGCACATTTCGACGGGATTATGAATTTTCGGATTGAAAAGTTTCAAACTAGAGGTCAAGAGAAAAGCATAGTACAGACTACTGAAATTGTAATTGTATATGACCTATGATTTTTAAAATTTTACATTAGCTTGCACTGTTTTTAAGGAGAGGAAATAAATAAAATATCTTAGGAGGAGGGGAGAGTAGGTCATGCCCCAACAATCTTTGGGGGGATGGGCAACTCCTGTCTGCATTTATTGAGTGTCCAATATCGAGGGGAATGGTACTTGCTATATATTCCCTTTTCTGGACTGAGGATTTCATTTAAATATTTTGTGAAGAGATATTGAATTTAAGAACAACTTATCTTGTTAGTAATGTGTTTTTCTTTTTTTTTACTGAAGGAGCATTTATTGCTAGTTAATTCAAAATAATTAAAACAAAAAAGATTTTTATTTTAATTATCTTCAGAGGTAAATATAAATATAAATATGGGGTAAAAGGTAAGATAATTTTACAGAAAAACATATTACATTTTTGACTATTCGGCATGTCTATAATTTATCACATTTATCATGTATATCATTTTTAGCTTAAGACACCTTAAATGTTTTTGTTTTTTTAATTTATTATCAGTTTGTAAGAGGCTTCCGCATAATACTCATCTTTATGCCTTCCATTTATACTAATGGTGAATATGCTGATATGTTTTATTTTTTATAGGTTATTTTATTTTTTGAAGTTATTTTATTTTTTATAGGTTATTTTATTTTTATAGGTTATTTTATGTTTTATTGGTTATTTTATTTTTTATTGTACATAGTTTTTGATTATTATTTTACTTTTTTTTTTAATCTTATTTATTGAAAAATATTACAATCTGTCTCAAGGACATTTATAATAGTGTTCACAGATCACATTCACACTCTATGTACAGTAAATAAAATAAATTATACAGAAAAATAATATATATACAATAAATAACAATAAAATGACCTAAAAATAAATGAATAAAAAGAACACATACATACCTATATACAATATTTTTTTTTTTTTTAACTTTTAATAATTTTATATTCTCTTTATACATGGTGTGAATGTGTTCATATTTCACTATAATAATTATCCACGTGACAGATTATTATATTTCTAAATAAACAAAAAAAAAAATTGTTATACTTTCATTTCATATTTAATCTAGCAATCAATTTAATAATTTTTACGATTAAATGATTACAATATATAACTGATTTATGATTCATTCCTAAATTACATACACATCTAAGGCATAATTTTTCTATGTTATCTTATTTTTATTTTTTATTTCAGTTTATGAGTACAACTTGAAAAGCAAGGAAGAAACAGAGAAGTTTATTAATACATTCAACGAAACTATTATCACACAGCTCAATCTGGAGAATAAGCCTAAAGAATTCCTGAAAATTTGGGAGAGGTTTTTTACAAAAGGTCTCGAACCTTTGAGAGCTATCCGAAATGTAATTTTTTTACTTTCACTTACGTATATATGTAATATATAGTAATGGTAAGTATTGCGATCGTGAAAATTTTCGAATCTCAGTTTTCAACGGAAATACGTGTTTTTAGGTTCCCTGAGTTCAAATAACCAAGTGTCGCAAAATGGTCTTGTTGTTATGGTGTGTGTTAACAGTCTAGCTCATAAACGAAAAGTAGTACGAAACTGATATTACGTATTTAAGGTTTGTATATGAGCCGGATATGACAGCAACTTTTTCGTTGAAATTGGCTAACCGAAAGTGCCACTTTATATGAACGCTGAAACACATTTTTAAAATTTTCTCAAAAACGGCTCTAACGATTTTGATCAAACTCGGTGTATCATTGTATAATTAAGTGGTCTTTAATATCATTTAGGTCTTGTCCCTGCTGATGTCTTGTCCTGATGTCTGCTGATGTCTTGTCCTGCTGATGTCTTGCCCCTGCTGAAGGGCTTAAATGCCCAATGTTCATACATGTCTTCCTCTAAACTACCTTTAATATGGTTTATTTTAAAAAATTAACCATTTCGCATTATTTAGAGTTATAAAAAAATGCTACATATAACTTTTGAAAGAATTTGATAAGTTAATAAAGGAAAAAATAAAATAAAAATCCAGAAAAACCTGCGTTCCTACAGACTGTAGCGGCTAAACGAATGTACCGATTTCAATGAAACTTCGCTAAAGTCATTTTCTCGATACCCTTTAAATTTATCTATATAATATACTTCAACGAAAAGAAGCTGGAAAAAAAGTTACGAGGGATGTTAAAATTAAATTCCGAATAACTCAAAAAGTATACGCTTTTTTGTCGATATTGTGATAAAATGTTTCAAAGATATTTAAATTGCCTAAAAAATGGAAGAAGTTTCATCGAAATCAAAGCACTATTAGTAGAGATATCGCGATTTTAAAATATTTTTACTTTCACTTACGTATATATGTAATATATAGTAAGGGTAAGTATTGCGATCGTGAAAAATTCTTTTATTTATATTTTAAGTTATGATATATTTATATTCATTCTTTTATTATCGAGTAATATACTTTTCATTTTTTATATATTTGATCAATAATTTATTCCAGTTATTTACTGAATACTTGTTTCTGAACCCGACTTTGGTGGCTTTGAATAAACATGCGGGACCGACATATTTCTACAACTTCAACTACACCGGAGGACCGCAGATGTTCGTCGGTAACAAGGAAGCAAAAGGTATACGATGAAAATAAATTCCCGATCTATTATATATAATACAATATAATTGATAACATCATTGTTCTGCTTTAGGGGTTGGACACGCTGCGGAACTATCATATTTTTTCGAGACTTTCAGTGAAAAGCCTGGATGGCCTAAGCATGCAGATGTCCAATTGTCCAAACAGTTGGTGAAGATGTGGGCCGACTTCGCAAGAAATCAGTAAGTTATTAAAATAATTAAATTATTCTTAATATTAAATCATTTAAATTTTTAATATATATATATATATATATATATATCCCTTAAACTAGTCCATCTCCTTCCTATACCCACACGTTGACTCCTAGTATCATCCCTCATCTTCCCCCACCTTGACTACGCCTGCGTGGTGTATGGCGGCCTCTCGGTGGAACTCGGGGACAGATTAAAAAGAATTATGAATACCTTAGTAAGATTTGTCGAAGGGACCCCGAGACGCTCCCGTGTTTCTCACTACTATTGTTTTCGGAATCTCAAGGGATACGCATATTGCCCAGTATTACACTGAGTTGAGGTGGCTCTACCCATCCTATCGCCGTCAGTACTTCCTAGCCACCTTTCTGTACCAGATCATTAGAACTCATCGACCCTCCTATATTTTTCACAGCTTGCAATTCAAATACTCCATCCAATCCCGTCCCACTAGATCTCGAACTTCCGACCTCTATCCTCCTCCTCACCGAACTGCTGCGTTTGACAAATCCTTTGCAATACAAGCCGCCTCCCTCTGGAATTCCATCCGTGCTGATATTAGACACGATCAATCAGTTTCCTCTTTCAAACCTCTCCTCTTTAAACACCTACTCCTTTCTCAATCCGACTGATTGCGAAATATACTTAAGAGAAGTGTCTAACTACCCCCAGAGACTACCTCAATTTATTTAGGTTATTTTAGTTACTCATATATATGTACAATTTTCTTGTTCTTTTCTTTCTCTTCTTCAGCATTTTTAGTTTTTGTCAACTGTGTAAATATATAATCTAATTGTAACCCCACAGACATACAATCTGTATTTATAATTTGTTCTCAAGGGACAACAGTTCCAGAATAATATTTATATTATTTTTAATATAATATAATATTTAATATAATATTTATACAGAATATTTTTTCATTCATTCATACTATGCCCAATAAGAGTGGCTCCTCCCCTTCTTCAGAAGACAATACTTCCTTGGCACATTCCTTTATCAAATAATCAAAAACCATCGCCCGTCCTATGTATACAATCTCCTCCAATTTAAATCGTCTGTCCACTCCCTCTCTACAAGATCTCGGCCTTCTGACCTTTACACCCATTTCCATAGATCTGCTTCATTTCAACATTCCTTTATTGTCCGCTCCTCCACCTTTTGGAATTCCATAGCACTTAAAATCCGCCATGCACCATCCTTATTCACATTCAAAACCCTCTTATTCCAATTCCTCTTCACAACCCCATCAGACGCTGGTTAATTATGTATCACGCAACAAGGATATTTTTTTTTTCATACACCACTACTTTCTTTAATTTTTTGTTTATTATTTGTGAGCTGGAAAGATTCAGTACCAGTTTCGGAATAGCACTGTGAGTGTCCAACAAGTAAGAGATTTTTTGTTGTTTTCATCCATTTTTCTTTTTTCTATTTACAAGCTTGTGCTGTATTTCATTTCTTACATTCCTCAATTTGTATACATATGTATCTTTCTATTTCTTTTTTTCAATACATGTAATTCTTTTTTTTTTCCTTTTCTTTTTGTTATTTTTTCCAGTAAAATTATAAATATAGTTGAAAAGATTTTATTTTATTTTTTAGTAATTTACATACTATTATTTAAGTTGTTGCATATATTGTTTGAATCTTTATTGAGTTAGTTTTTGTCCAGAAGTGTATTTTTTTTCTTTTGTAACTGTACATTATTGTTATTCTAAGGGAACATCGTCCCAGAATAAAGTTTATTTTCTATTTCTATTTCTATATATATATTTATATATATATATATATATAATATAATATATATATATATATATTATATATACATACATTCAAATATTTTTCAGAACACCAAACAGCCAAGGAACGCTGCAATGGTCTCAGTTCCAAGGAAAATATTTCTTGGACATACAGAACTCTGGAGTCACCTTAAGCAATTTTACCCAATACCAGGAAATACTCGGTTTCTGGAGAGATATTTTTCCAGACCATACTTCAGGATCGTCAAGTATTCATTCGTCGTTATTGTTCATTGGAGCTTTAGGCATCTTCACTGTCTTCAAAACAATATTTTTTTAAGCCTTGTTTATAATATGGTCAATATTGAATCATTTGTTCGATTTAAAACATTGAATTCTTATATAATCACTTTTTTATATTAAAAAAGTGCGTAAATTTCCTTGTACATAAACCTTACTGTTACTGATACTGTACTAAACTAAAAAAATAAAGTTAAATCTTTTTTTTTTTTTTTTCTTAACCAATCCTTTCCTTCTCCCATATTTTCTGGATTAGTTGTAGTAACTTGACTCTTAAGTCTTCTAACTTATCTAGGATCTAAAATTTGATGAGGAGAAAATCAAGATTATATAATGGACAGAGGAAGCGAATAGTATAATATTAGATGGTACTTAATTCAACATTAAATAAAATCGAAAAACAGTGGCATCCCTTCGGACTCAAGTACAAGTCAGTTAACCTCACATTTTGTTCTGTGTTCTTATCCTAAGAAGCCCTTCCGTAGATGTAACAACAATAGGAAACTAGAAGGAAATTATGGAGGTATATATGTAAGCAGATGGATGACGAAGATAGATGAAAATCTTAGAAGTAGCGATATGTGATGAAAAATATCAGATACAAAGTTTTCAGGATTATCATCGTCAAGAGAGGCGCGACAACACACTTAGTGAATCATGGCCTCCTCTGGTAGTTTACGTCATTTCACAGGTGGAGCTACGGGGAGACTTTCGGACTGAAACCTCCTCCCCTCCCAACTGTAAAATGTTACCATTTTTTATGGTAAAAAATATTAATATATTATCTCCTAAAGTATTACTGTTCGTGTAATTACATTCAATAGGACTTCAAGAATCACTTTAACACCATTTTATATAGGCAGGTAGTATCTTTATTTTTTCAAAATAATTATCGTTATATATTCATATGAAAAAAAAAACTTTCGGGCTGGAGTCCCTCCCCCAAATTAAATCCTGGATCCGCTCGTGCGTAATTTCTTCCCATCTTGTTCGGCAGTTATCCACTTCCGGATATCGAATTTTCAGTTGTCTTCCAATTTGTCTCCTCAGTCCATAAAGTTGATCGTCCTTCCGGGAATGTCCTGTTCAGTCATCCTAGAAACAACTCCAGCCCATCTAAACAACCCATGCAGATGAAACATCCCCAATCATACTCTTGCCTTCTTAGTCAGTTTAGATTACTCTTTTAAAATGATAATTTCTTTCAAATACCAGGATAATTTGCTCATCCGACGTTTTTTCGGGATAGTGTTTGTTTAATTTATACCAATATGTCGCAATTTTTCATTCGCTTGATTCAATTGAAACACTTAAAGATAGAACAGGTTATAACTGTTATTCACAATGTTATAAATAATAACTGAAAAAAGAAGGAAGTGTACTCTGTTAGACAGTATAACAACTATACTTTAACCGTTTGATAATGTCTGATAGGTATGTGTCATCTTTAAATGATCGATACAGATAAAAAGATAAGCGGTATTATATATGTGAGATACAGAGCCCTGATATTTAGTTACAATGCTGGCGGCCGTGCTGTGTGTTGCGGCCTTGGGGCACCTCGTCCTAGGAGAGAACCCCCAGGTCACCACCTCCTATGGTACCATGAAGGGGCAGGTCCTCAAGTCTAGGGACGGCAGGGACTTCTTCTCCTTCACTAGGATACCTTACGCCAAGCCACCTGTCGGAGAACGGAGGTTCATGGTAAGAATGGTGTTGTTTTTGCTTCTATACCAGATATTGGGTCATACATATGCAGACGATTAGATCATCTCTCTTGACGATCTTCGAATCGATCGTGGGTCTGACAAACTTAATCCAATATTAGTTCACGAAAAATAGTCAGAAACTTCCCTTGCAATGACAGGTACTCTCTCAAAGTTTTATTAATCCGATTCAAAGTTTTGATTTTCGTAATTCATAAGAATAAACCTTCTTTAAAAAAAAATAATCCACTCTCTTAATGCGTAACTTGTGATTCATATTTAATTTAAAGTGTTTTAGTGTACTTTATTCTCAAGGAAGCACTTCAATTATTAGTGGTCCTAGAAAAAATGATCACATAAGTATTTTGTTTTTATTGGGCTGAGTTGGCGATAAATATGATCGTTTACTTACCGTGTTTACGGGTTATCCAGGGGGCACGTGGACTAACTGTCCGGACGCGATCACTTCACCCTTTAAATAGTTTTTATTTTTTTTTTATAAAAATAAAACTGTCTATTTTTTTATTTTATTTTTATTTTTCCCTTCAGAAGCACCTCCACCGCATCGGTATAAAAGATAATCCGACATGCCCTCTGTGTTTTTTGGATATGGTAACAGAAGAACATCTTGATACATGCCCTGCATTACAGGACATAAGATGTTCCTTCAGTGAAATGGTCAAACTTTACGCTAGGAGAGCAAAATTATATTCGACTGCAAGAGCACGCATGACTGATAAGCAGGCGTTACCTAGGCATAGAAAAAAAAAATTTATTATTTTGTGTGTAATAGCTTACCTCGGAATATAATAAACGATATTTTGATCATATATTCATATTTTGGACGAAACATCTAATAATTGGATGAATGTTGTTTCTAGCAATAATTTGTCTGCGAAATATCCTTATTTCAATCCCACGGACAATAAATATAACTATCAATGATTATACATATATCATTATTGTTAACTTTTTATTTATTTTTTTTATTTATTGTACGGTATTTTCACCTGTGCGGTAGCCCATCTAGCAAATTTGATTATTTTTGAGAATTGGCTTGATTTGCATTAATTTTGTTATTATTGAAAGATTAAATTTCTTTGCTTTCTTCTTTTTAATCTACATCCAGCAGGTACCAGGGAGGAGGAAATTGAATGAACTAGTGTATTGAAATGGTTTTGAGTTGAAGAATAGAATGTAGTGTATTTGTCTTAGATGTAGGATTTCACTGTTGATAAATTTAAGTTGTAATGTATACAGATATTTGAAATATACCAAGGTGCGTTAACAATTTTTCGTAAAATGTTTTATTGCGGTTTGTATTTTGTTTATGTGTTTGTTTTGTCAAATGACCAAATTTTATTCCGTATGTCCAATGATCAGTCACTATTTTCGTAAGTGAGTATTTTTAGTGAAGAAGATGTGAGAGTTATAGAGTCAAGTCAGTTTTTGTTCTTTTAATTTCATATTTATATACTAAGTAAATCATTTATTGTAAATAGATTCCGATGTACGGTATATAGTTATTTGAAGGCAGTGGGATATTGTCATTAGTTATGGGTGGACATGAGGCTCTTCTAAGAGTAAAACTTGCCTGAGTGGATTTTTTTGCCATTTATTTTTAATCCAAATTTTGCGAACACCTTTTCAAGATCATAGAGATTGTTTTTGGAGAGCAATAGATGTGATAGTTGGATTTTTATGGGAAGACAGAATTGAAGTGCCGTCAGATAAGCAATCGATGGTGGTGCCAGGGTGCTCAGGAATATCAGAGGTGTTTAGATAATAGAGGATTGGGCAAAAAAACGCTACCTTGTGGTACCCCAGTGTGTTTAGAGAACATGGAGGAAACAAAAGAATCTCAGGAAATACAGAAAAACCTGTTAAGAAAGGATTAAATAATTAGAAAATAAGTGAAAGTATAAGTAAGTACGGTTTTAGTTTCCATAATAGGCTCTTGTGCCAGACGCTATCAAAGGCTTTTTCGATTTTAATTCGATATTCCTTTTTCTCAAAAGGATAGAGATAGTATCCACGATCCGGTGTCACTGTTGCACTGTAGAGTGATATGAACTAAAGCCGAACTTGTGATTTGGTATCACTTCACTACTTTCCGGAATAGACTTTAGACTGTTCAGAAAATTTTTTTCAAACAATTTCCTCTATATTTAGGGTATTCAAATTTTTTGGAAAAAGTACTATGGGACGGTAAGATGAAGGACTAGTGGTAGGTTTTGAAGTTTTAGGAATCATTTTAATACAAGAAAGTTTCATTAGTATAATTTATATAGTATTAGTATGATTTCATAATTTATTGCCCTCTGATATTTTTCATCGTAGCAGAATGCTTACGACCTTTTGCACTAACTATCAATTCATATTAGAAAATTTCTATACTATTCCCCAAATTTTCTCTAACTTTGGGTCAAATTGAACGCGCAGTTTTCAAACTATAAGCTTGCCGAATAAAACGTTTGCTGATCCGAAAGCGAAAGTATTTTATCTAGGAGAAGTGGATTGAATTTGATCAAATTCGTACCTACTTGATTATCTGTTTACCAATCCTTAAATTTCCTCCAAATTTGAGCCAAATCGAAAATGTGGTTTTAGAGATATAGACGTATCAAGGAAAACACGTTTGCGCATATATACGAAAAATTAGTTGACAGAATTCAATAAAATTAACATTACGTTATTTTTTCACCATTATCTACCTTTTATCTAACTTTTCATGAAGATTGGATGAACGGTACTAAGTGATATGCCCGTCACATCGATTTGACTACAGACATACAGACAGACGGACCGACAGACACCGAAGCAAATCTGATCCTTGATATCTGAAACGTAAAACGCGAGTGGGAATTTTCGATTCTCAGCACAAAATATTTTTAACCTCTCGCACGAACACAATGCTTCCCACCTTCGGTAGTGAAGAAGCAACATCTAATCACTCCCTTTATTCTCCGACATCTACATGGAAAAGCTGTTCTCTTCATTACACACATCTTCTATAACTCCATGTTACGCACAACCTATTTTCCTCTCCTTTGGAAACAATTAGTTTTTATGTTTTGCTGTAAAACACTCAATGTTTTCATACGACTTTTTGCACTAACAGTAGTTTTTTTTCGCACTTTTCGCACTCGATTTTTTTTTTAATCCTGATTCATCAAATATGCAATCTGCATATAAGGAATTTTTTCTCATTTTAGTATTCGCTGATGAACAAAACTCGTGGATATCAAACCCGTATATGTTGAGGGATTACTGAATTTCCGGAAAATTTTTCTTCCATAAATTTTATTCTCATACGAAAAATTTTAGACCTAATAATATAGATACTTTTTAGCCAATGCACTAAACTGACCTTCCTTGGCAGACATTTTTTTTTATTTGGAAGTCGGTTGATTTCTTCGTAAATTTCTTTTTGATGAAATTCCGATGGGTTTATAATTTTTAAAAATATAAAGAGAGAAACATATACAGTAAATCATTTGCATAGCATAGGTACATCAAAGCATAACATAGTAACATAGTAGCTTACAACTGGACCTAATAGAAATAAGTGAAGTAATTTTATAGTGGTATGGATTCAAATTTATTAAAATAAATAAATGAAGTTATAAGTTAATAATTTCATGAACTTTATTTTGTTGACAGATTTCAGAGAAAGCAGACAACTGGACTGGGATATTAGACGCAACCAAACCCATCCCTTCCTGTTACCAGATTAATCCATGGCAGCCAGGCTCTGGACAAGAGGATTGCCTGTATCTGAATATCTTCACACCAAAAGTATGTTCAGTATAACTAGATCGAGAACAGGATACTTGTTAACTAATACACATTTTTCAACGATATCTGAAACGCTATTAAAAAAAAAACTATTTAGTTGATCCAAATTATCACTCAAATTTACCACAGTAACTAAGAAAATGGTGAAAATTGGCTTTTCTTCGAGACCAGTTTATCAACTGTTAATGAACTAATTTGAATATTTATAAAAACTGAATATTATGAATATCTTTCATCAATAGTACAACAATCTTCAATTTAGCTTAAAAAGATACAAGCAGAGTTGCGGTGTTATTTCACTTTAGTTTTGAGTCAGCTATATATATTTTTTAAAATCTGTTGAATCTTAAAAACAATCAACCTATAAAATATACAGTTTAAATAAAATATTTAATGAGCAAAAAAATTCTTTTTAACACTAAAATAGAATATCTCTACAAAACTCATGCAAGAGATAATTATGAATTTCATTAATGGTAAATCTATCTATACTCGTGTCCCATTTCACGGACACATTTTTGACCAAACAAGGCTATGGCAATCAGTTTTTGGTCAGCGATATTAGAGGGTATTGGAATTTTCACACTGATTAACCATATGCCGTATTACATTGCTTTAGTTTATCAAATAAATTGTACTCAAATCTTTTCTTTGATCAATTGTCAGGTAAATAAATTTAATTCAATTTTTTTTTTGTTTCTTGATGAACATATGTAAAGATATAAAACTTTTCTGAAATAGATAGAAAAAGTGTGTGAGTGGACATACAAGATTTTTTTTATTTTAAATAACTATACAAACAGTAAATAATTTATTGATTGATATTTTTATTTCGATGCAACTTGAAATCCCAATAACATAATAAAATTAAACATTATCTATTATAATTACCAATACCAACTATTATAAATATATATATATATATATATATATATATATATATATATATATATATATATATATATATATATATACATATATATGTATATTCATAAAATATAAATATTCTTCAATATATATAATTTAATTATCGAAAACTGTAAAATATTTTCAGTTAACTGGAAAATATCCTGTTATCTTCAGCATACACGGAGGTGCCTTCGTAGCAGGCTCTGCATCAGGTTTCAAAACAGCCAAGTATTTTATGGATGAAGATGTAGTCTTCGTTGCACCTAATTATCGAGTTGGAACCATCGGTATTATATAATCAAATAATCATATCATATTCGTTACCTAGAAAAATAATGAAGTATCATATTTACTTTTTTGCTCAGGATTTCTCAGTTTTGAAGATAAGGTTATACCTGGAAACTTTGGTCTTAAGGACCAAGCATTGGCACTGGAATGGGTCTATAATGAAATTAGTTTACTACCATTTTAGTTTACTACCATTTTTACCATTTTACCATTTTACCATTAGTTTACTACCATTTTCTTAGTGCATTTGGAGGGGACCCAAAGCAGATAACCGTCATTGGTCAGAGTGCTGGCGGTGCATCATCAAATCTTATATGTGCAGCTCCAAGAACGAATGGTGTGTTTCACAACATATCTTCATTTTTTTTTTAATTCGAAAGATTCGATATAAAGATAAAGGAAGGAGATGGTCCGGAGTGGCGGTCATAAATAAGCTTCATAGTGGTAAAACTATTTTATTAAAAGCCAACGTTTCGACCCGACTTTGCAGGTCTTCTTCAGTGAGATCTGTTCAGCTAGGGGTTTCACTTAGAACTCTAGAGTCGAAACATTGGCTTTTAATAAAATAGTTTTACCACTATTGAGCCTATTTATGAACCATCTCCTTCCTTTATAATGCAATGGTCAACTATTAAATATTCGATATATAGACAGCTTATATGGTTAATTTCAGGTCTCATCAAGGGCTGTGTGTCTCAAAGCGGCAACGGCTGGACACCTTGGGCAATATTGAAACCTGGGGAAGCCAGAGAAATGGCCTTAAACTTGGCTAAAGCTGTAAATTGCACAGGAAATGGACTCCTTAAATGTCTGCAAGAAAAACCTATTGAACTTGTTGCAAACACGTCTTTGTTGCAGAGTGTGAGTTAGCAAACAGAATATGTTCACACCAGACTTAACTCAAACAAAGTATACTATTGTCCAGATGCAAAATAACTTTAATAATGCTTTGATGTTTTAGAACATCGTTATTCGGCCTACTACAGCTCCAGTTCTGGAATCTGCTGATGGACCTGGAGCGATCCTGACCAGTTGGCCAACAGCGGCAGACCATAAATACCCCTGGATCATAGGAGTGTGCCAGGATGAAGGATTGCTCTTTACCGGAAGTGAGTTATCATATAAACATAAATCTTCAATATCTTAGCATAGTTATTCGATCAAGAATTTCTCATTCTTGATCTTAATGGGCTTTCTTACTACTCCTGATTTATACACTTTAACTTCAATCCATTCAGAGTAATTTAACAATGAGGATTGACTGTTTTCAATGGGAAGAGAGTTGATTATTCCTGCCAGTTTATCATGGTTAACTATAGGGTAAGCGCTCCAATGATGGACAAAGATAAGGAAAGTTATGTCTTTTATGGTTTATGCCATCGTAATTATTATAGTTAGAAACTTATCTTTATAAACTTATCGTTGGACGTTTATAATCCCTAGAGTCTACTTTTTCTATTTGACACATTACAATCGAAAAAATATTCAGTTATGAAGATATAATCTCCATTTAAAAAAAAACAACACGTTTTTGCACTATTGTACCGAACCGCTGCTTTGGTCAGATCGTTCATTATCCGATCCTCATCCCTTATGCAACTCCATCCCTCCCCACATCCGTCAATCCAAAACCATACCTACCTTTAAATCCCCCCTGTTCAATCATTTCTTATCCATCCAATCCTCATAAAATTGTAAATATTTACTACTGTAAATATATATATAAATTATTAGATCGTTCTTCATTATTTTTACTTCATGTTTATTTTCATTTTTTTATTATTTATTATTAACTGATTCAAATTAGAAAGTAACTTATAATTTCTTTTATTTTGACTATTTAATTAAACTATATTCTTGTTTATGTATCTCTGAGGCTCCTTAGCCCACATTTTTGTCTTTCTGTATTATTCTAAAGGGACTCGTCCCAGAATAAAAAAAGCATTATTGTTTTAGTAATGAAAAGGGTGTCGGTACCAGCAATACCTCCAGACATACCTGAGAAAAATTCTAAAATCTTTATTTAACGAAAAGAAGGTATGAAACATATTGATCTCATGACCACTTTAGAAGCAACAATAATAGTCATTTTTAAATTTTTTAGGAAATTCTTTGATACAGTTGTCAATAGAGGATATTGTTCTTCAATCTAGAAAAAACTTGAACCTTTAAATTAACAAAGAAGCTTATAATTTACATTTAAAGGATAACTTTTCCATCACTGGGCCCCTTGTCCATAACTGGTACGTTCACCCTAATTAGTTAACTAAGTCTCAGAACTCAACTCTTCCATCATTAGTCGACATAAATAATAAGGGTCTGTTATTAAATCAGATGTTATTCTTTATTTTATTGCAAAACATTGAAACTTCTAACCTGTCTTCCTTTCACCTAAGAGTTAAGCCCATTTTTTTTTTTTATTATATTGGTGTTATGATCTTATAGATCTTCTGCGCACCGAACCATTATTTGTAACCTACCTCATTTGATTTAAGTAGTTCTGAGTTTCTAATCATTAACTTTTAGTCCGTGGTACAGACCCCTTTTTATCAAATTATTAACATCCGACTCAAAGTTCGTTAATAGCTTCATCTTATCGTAACCTAATTTTATTCACCACAATTCTCGGAATTATGGCGTTTTCAATCTGGAGATCGGCAAACTTTGTCTATTTAATTAGGTACTAAAAACACGTAAATACCCATTTGCTTTCCACTTGGATTGTAGGATAATCTTATCGCAAAATCGAGAAAAAATGTGACCTGCAAAATATTTGGCCTATAAACTTCCTTATTTTGGTGGTGTAGGTCACTTCTCAGTATTTTTGAAGGCCACTTTTTCTCGATTTTGTTTTTAAATTATTTTACGATTCAAGTGGAAAATAAATGGGTATTTACAAGTTTTTAGTTCTTAATTAAATAGACAAAGTTTGCCGATCTCCAGATTGAAAACACTTCTTTTCCAAGAGTTTTGTAAATAAAATATTTACAGGTTACTATGAGATGTAGTTATTCAAGAAGTTTGAAGCAGATGTTAATAATTTGATAAAAAGCGGTCTGTAGAGCGGACTATTTGTTTATCGATCTCGATTTGGGTTATGTAGTTGTTTTTTTATCTCCTACCTCATCTTTTCAGCTATTCAGGATTTTTCGGGTCAGAGAAGAGGGCGGAGGTTTAATGGCAGAGTTAAAATCCCTATTACCGGGATTCGAACCTGGGAACAAGGCACTCCTAGGTGACCTAGATTAAAAACCTCAAGTGAATTATTGCAAAATAATATGGTAATTGTGATAATTTAGAAACTCAGTGATGAACAACAAACAGCTCACGCTGTGTTGTTGTATGAAATTAACTTATGAGGTTCCTTAAGTAATTCATCGTTTTTCTTCCATATCTTTGAGATTTTATCCAATTCTGCCATACGGAAGAAATGTCATTCAAATATCTTGAAAATGTGCATTACATTCTCACATTAGGTGTCCAAGACTGTTAAGATATGAAGGGTGTTGGCATTTCATATTTATTAAGGCATATTAGAAACATTTTTTTAATGGGTAAAAAATTGAATGTTATTTTCGTTACCAACTGCTTTTTCCTAGAATTATTATAAATAAATTAATCTTATCTTTATATTCTAATAGTATAAAACACATTTTTTTCTAGAATAGAAAAATAGTTTTAAAGAAAAAAACTATATCATTTTTTATCTAAACTATTCTTATTTTTTATATAAACTATGTCTTCTTTAATTGAAAGACTTCTTAAATAGTTTTTTATTTTTAATATATTATAATTTGATTTATTATATTCAACTATCAAACCATAACTTTTATAAATATAAATTTATTATATATTCCAGAAATACAAACAAACATTAAACATAAGAGCTTTTTTTTATCTAATCTTATTTTTATTTTTTATTCCAGTTTATGAGTACAACAGGACAAGCAAAGAAGAAACAGATAAATTTATTAATACATTCAATGAAACTATGACTTCACTGCTCAATTTGGAAAATAAGCCTAAAGAATTCGTGAAAGTATGGGAGAGGTTTTTTACAAAAGGTCTCGAACCTTTGAAAGCTATCCGAAATGTAATTTTTTTAATTTATATTTTAAGTAATGATATATTTATTATTTGATTCCAGTGTTGCTCAAGGTAGTATCCTTGGTCCCTATCCTTTACACAGTTTATACAGCTGACATCCCAACCCAATCCAACACCTACCAATCCCAACCAGCATCTATGCCGATGACACGTGTATCCTATCAGTTAATAACGATCCATCTATTGCATCCCAAACTCTTCAATCACACATCACAAGTCTTGAAAACTGGTGTCAAAACTGGAAGATTAAAATAAGTTCCAATAAATTACCTTTACTCTTCGTCGTAAACCTATGACTTCCTGTCCTACAGTATCCTTCAACAATAGCCCTCTTATCCCTGTCGAACAAATCCGATACTTAGGACTCCACCTTGACAAACGACTCACTTGGAACCCCCATACCAGACTGAAACGACTAGAAACCACCTGACATTTTCGACTACTGCACTTACTTGACAAACGCTCTAAGCTTTCAATCAATTACAAACGACTCATATATATGACAATAATAAGGCCTATTCGGACTTACGGAATTGAGCTTTGGGGCTCCACTAAACCGTCGAATTCCTCTCGTATCCAATCCTTACAATCCAAAATCATTCGTAAAATCCTCAACGCTCCTTACTTTGTCACAAATAAAATCATCCATAAAGACCTTAATGTTCCATATGTTTCCGATTAAGACCAATCCAGATACCTATCCTTCCATAACAAACTGCAGAATCATCCAAATCCTTTCGTTTCAAACCTTGCTTCCTCCTCGATCCCTGATAATCCTCCGAGGCGTCTGAAAAGAAGATGGCCTCGGGATCTTCTAATATAGAACTTTAATTTGAGTTCTACCAATGGGTAGTTTCTCTTTAAGTTGTACATGTCATGTTACCAATGTCACATTTACTTGTTGTATTTTCTATGTAATATAGTTGTAAATTCCATTAAAATAAAAAAAATTATTTGTTTATCGAAGATGGGCACACTTTTCATTGTTTTATACATGATGTATATATTTTTTACAGTTTCTTACTGAATACATGTTTCTAAACCCGACTTTGGTTGCTTTAAATAAACACGCGGGACCGACATATTTCTACAACTTCAACTACACTGGAGGACCTCAAGTCTTCGCTGGTAACGATGAAGCTAAAGGTATATGATGAAAATAAATGATTAAATAAATAAAATCATGTGGAACTTATAAGTGATAACATGGTGATACTGCTTCAGGAGTTGGACACGGTGCTGAACTAGCATATTTTTACGAGTCTTCCAGTGAAAAGCCTGACTGGCCTAAAATTGCAGATATCCAATTGTCCAAGCAGCTGGTAAAGATGTGGGCGAACTTTGCAAGAAATCAGTAAGTAATTAAAATAATAAAATTAATGTTAATATTAAATTACTAAGTTACCTAGGGCTCCACCTGGATAAACGTCTAACTTGGAATCCTCATATCAGACTGAAACGACAAGAAACAGCTCGACGTTTCCGACTACTTCAACACTTACTAGACAAACGCTCTAACCTTCCTATTAATTACAAAAGACTCATTTACATGACTATATGAGGGCCTATTTGGACTAACGGAGTTGAGCTATGGGGCTCCACCAAATATTCAAATTTCTCTCATATCCAATCCTTACAATCCAAAATCCTTCGTAAAATCCTCAATGCTCCTTACTTTGTTACAAATGAAAACCATCCCTAATGTTCCATATGTTTCCGATTTGGACCAATCCAGATACCTATCCTTCCATAACAATCTGCAGAATCATCCAAATCCTTTCGTTTCAAACCTTGCTTCCTCCTCGATCCCTGATAACCCTCCGAGGCGTCTGAAAGGAATATGGCCACGTGATCTAATATAGGCATATCATTAGAGTGCTACCAATGGGTAGTTTCTCAACATGTGTTTCATGTCATTATATCCATGTGCGAATTTACTAGATGTATTTTTTTTTTTATACAGTTGTAAATGTCATATAAATAAAAAAATTACTTTATCTATTAATATTGAATATTTTTCAGAGCACCAAGCAGCCAAGGTATGGTACAATGACCCCAGTTCAAAGGACAATATTTCTTGGATATAGAAAACTCTGGAGTTGCCACAAGCAATTTTACCCAATATCAGGAAATACTCGGTTTCTGGAGGGATATTTTTCCAGACCATACTTCAGGATCGTCAAGTATCCATTCGACGTTTTTGTTCATTGGAGCTTTGAGTATTTTCACCGCCTTCAAAACGCTGTATTTTTAGGACGTGTTCATAATAGGATTAAAATTAAAGCTGTTGTTAAACTTGAAAAAAAAAATTTATATTATCACTTTTTTATATTAAAGGAGTGCCTAAATTATCATGTATATAAACCTCAGTGTGTTTTGTCTCATTTTTTTTTTATTATATATTTACAAATAAGGATTCCTCGTTCGATAAGTCGATAAGCATTATATTGTAGGGTAAGAAAGCATCTAAACTTTCCTTAATGGCGAGAGACCTATATTTCACAAATCACTCACGATGGTTCCCTAAACCTGAAGTATGACGAGTTATAAAGAAATCAGTGGATTAGATTGGATCTTTCTTTCAATTTCTGTTACATAGCGTTTTCGATTTTATTCAGCTCTAGAGCAGTTTTTTTTTTTTTTTTTATTTATTTTCTTCATTTATCCGGGAGATATTTATTTTCGAGGTATAAAAGTAAGAATATTTTTTTCCAGTGATTGATTCTCCCATTCATTCCACTCAACTATATCATAACGTTTCGGGATCCACTTATTTCCCATCTTTTTCTTCTTTATCTTCCTCTTCGTGCCATTACTAGCGTCGAGGAGCCTCAATCCAATGCATCCATGCCTCTCGGTCCCTTCTAAGCCCCTCATTTCCTGGAGGGTTTTGCCTCTCTTCTCTCCAATCCGCTGCATATATTCCTGATAGGAAATTCTGGGGCGGCCCCTCGGCCTTCTCCCAGTGGGTCGAGCTTCCAGAATCTTCCGTGGATTTCTCTCCTCCATCCGGCAAACGTGGCCAAGCCACTTTAACTGTCGGTTTTCCAGTAGTCCTTAGCTCCGCCACCTCCAGGTCCTCTCTTATGCGTATTTCCCATCTTCAGACTAGAAATTACAGCATTATCGCTATCAACAATTATGTATAAACAATATAGTATTTATTAATATAATTACAAACAACAATAATTTAATTTTTATTTTATTTTGCCAATCTTACCAGTATCCCACATCATATTATTCTCCATAAGACTTGTCATATTATATTAAATTGCTTTATTATTGTGTTGTTCTTAAAATGTAAATAATGTTGTAATTTCTAGTCTGAAGATGGGATATAAGTGTATCCCGAAACGTTATGATGTAATGATGTAATTGAGTGGAATGAATGGGAGAATAAATCACTGGAGAAAAAATATTCTTACTTTTATTTTATTTATTTATTTAAGTATAACCATAAGCTGTTCGTTAAAATATTTACATTTCTTTTTGACAGTTTTTAGTAGCACTGATCCGCAAGTGCCCCGGTAAAACATGTAGAGGTAAGTGCAAATCTCCCTTGGACAAGTACATATGGTATGCACTTACCCCATCTATCATGTTTTACTAAAGGAATTACGGATTAAAAATATGTAAAATAAGACCTTTTTTCAAAACATTTATTCAATCATACTCCACATCCCGCTTTTACAACTCTCTTAATATTTTACAATGAATAAAATTGACATGTTACTTGTTTCGATCTATGCATCATTAGAAGAAGGTGTCTATGTATCTGACAATTTACTGTCAAATACGGTCAAGACTAGAACAATGTAAAGTCTTGAAAATGTTTCAAAACGAAACCGAACAACCGATTATTCACTCAAGCCCGGTGATTTAGAATAAACCTATAGTAGTTTCTTCTCTTGAAAGATTCGTCAAAAAGAAATACTATTATGGAAGTCAACGAAAATTTTCTCATTTCAGCCAATGTGATGTTACTTCTACTCTTAAACGTATGGGAGAAAACGCATCAAAGTATCGATGGAGCACAGAAAAAGTAAAGAAAATAACGGAACTGTTTCATCTTAAAATAACGTTATTTTTTTATATATTAGTCTCTGTAAACATTGCCTGATAGGAGTCCTTTTTCATTGAGTTTCGTAAAAGAATTCCTTTTTGACGAAATGTTCAGGTGTAGTTTTCAGTTTTGGGCGCGAATTACAATAGATTTCAGGAGTTTTTCAGTTGTAGTTCCATAAATATTTTTAACATAATACATTCATTTTTTTGTTTTAATAAATGATTAAACTTATTTAATTAGAAGTAAATTACGTAATTTTTAAAATGAATTTAAATATGTTTGCATTTTTTTATTATTTTCAAACTTTATTCGTTATAATCAATTACATTAAAGTAAGACCAATTTTTTTCGGCTGATGCGTTTGTCATTTTGATTCGATTGTATGATTGAATAACCAAATCATGATTTATAAGATAGGCAATGCTTTCAGTGGTATTTAATTTTTTTTTTATTTTTATTGTATATAAACATAAAGGCATATCCTTGATCTAGTTTTATTCGTTCTGTTGGGTGTCATCCACTGATGAATTATTGCTTTGTTTCAATTACAGTTAATTGTTCCCGTAGATATGTTGATAAACTACTTTTGTAGTCATATCTCAGATTCATTCATTGTCATCAGTGAATAGAGTGAAGAACTCTACGGTAAATTCTAATCAACACGGATACGATACAGCTGTTTATTGTATATAACTTCACTAGGCCATCCATTTTGTGTTTAGTTGTAATACTTTAAGTTATTTGTACTATTAATATTACTAAAAATATAAGTAGAATACTAATACATAGAATACATTACTCAAGCACGTTCTAAGGATATTTATCCACTATATATAAATAGGGATATTTATCCCTCTATGAGCCAATTATTAGAAAATGTCTTAAAATTATTAGAAAATGTCTGACTGAATACAAACATTTTAACGGCCAATCTGAAAATATATCTTCATGACACTATAATACACATTGTTCTGTTGCCTGAAACGATCCCTCATTTCTAAATTAGGACTCTAATTCTATATTACACATTAAACTATAAACAAAAATTTAAACATTTTTGTCTTGCCATATTTTTTTTTTTTTTTTTTAATCCTGGCACTCAGACTAACAAGGAAAAGATACAGTCCATGGGTATGGGCAGATTTCAACCAAATTGTTTTTGGTGATGCTACATCGAAAAATATTAGACACATATCCAGGTGTTCTATCCAATTTCCTAGGAGTCGAGAAAAAAATACATAAAATTTCATATAAAATTTATGTTTGCCTTTGCTTTGTTCGGATTTTTAAATTAATATTTATGACCTTTTTATTATTAATCTTTTTATTCGAAATGAGAAAAAAAATTATTTATTGTTTTAAATGAGTTATAATGTATCATAAATTACAAAAACCAATCCCAAAATATATTAGCATGCTTAGGAAAGAAGAAATCCTTACCAAACTTATGAAGTTCCTAGACAATGAAAGAATTATAAAACATATATGACAACTTTACAACTAATGATCCTTTGCAGATTTTTTTTTAATTATAAAAGTTCATTGATTTATTAATTTCAATTCATTTATTAATTTTATTGCTATTTTTTTTTTTAGTTCATTTATTTATCTATTCTATCTTATTATCTATAAGTGTCTATAATGATCATTATTTATTTATTTTATTCTATTGATTCTTTTATTTTTTTTATGCTTTTTTTATATTTATCCTTTTTCTATTTTTTGTACCAACCATCTGAGTTGTATAAAAGTAATGTTTTCACAAACCAACAGGTGCTTCCAGTAAAGTTGACTAATTATTTTTTGTAAACTCTTATAACGAATTGTTATATAAATAAAAAAAATACAACCTTTAGTATTTGATTTTCTTGGATGAGTTTTTTTTTTTTTCCGGCCATCAAGTAAAGCATTCATAACTCCTCAGAATTTCCTTCCAATTCAACTTTAATATAAGCATTGGAAAGCTGAATTACTGCTCTTCAAACTGACACCAATAACTTTTGGCTTCCATTTTTTTATTTCAAGCTAGAAATTTTTATTTTATATCTTTAATTTTAATTGCGGGATGCTTGGTTGACTGTAGTGAATAATTGAAAAGAAGGATGGATGGGATAAGTAATTATATTTTTTTATACGATTTTTTATTTTGGCTGCTCACTCTAACCATCCTTCTCTCCAATCTTTAATTTTTATGTATTTACTAAGATCAGGTTAATTTCCTTTTCAAATTTCAAAGGATTTAGACAAAAGTTTTGTGCAGAAAATTTAAATTTTTCGATTGCTTAAAAATACTTATTCAAGTAGTTTTTTTGAGGTGCCAAAAACAAATATCATCTTTTTTTCTCCTTAAAGACAATATCTTCCTTGTTAGTAGCGAATCCAGAGTTTAATTTTGTTTTTCTTATTTTTATATCTTTTTTATTTTTTTTTAACAATAATTGCTGGAACGATAATGGTTTTAGAGATGAATTTCTCCTTAGAATCCTAATTGAGAATTATTTTAAAACTCATTTTTATCATAAATATGTTGCGTGTAAGAAATTGGGGAAAATATAACAAACCTTATCGTAGGCAAAAGTGAGAAAAACCAATCCACCAAATCCCAATTTATGATATGAGGCTAGACAAAAAAAGAATTGAAATTATTTCACCATATTAATTTTTTTTTTAGTTTTTAACCGTATTTACTCATCAACCTGAGTTATACCACCCATTATGAAATCTTGGCTGTCACATGAATCGCCTAACACATGTTACAGACAAAATACAATGAATTCAAATTTTTTTATGAAATAAAATTTTGTATTTTTAAAAATATAAATACCATATTCATACCATAAAAAAGAATAATATTTAAAATGATGTAGAGATGGTTGACCGTTGATATAATATGAGGAGTTAGTCGAGGGTGCAGTCAAATAAATAAAAAATTAAAATATATTAATTATTTTAATTTTTGCCGACGTTTCGACCCACTCACACCAGTGTTTCAACTGCCTCCCTCAGTGCCACTTCCTATGCTCAGAAGAGGACCTACAAAGTGGGTCGAAACGTCGTCAAAAATTAAAATAATTAATATATTTTAATTTTTTATTTATTTGACCGCACCCTTGACTAACTCCTTCTCAATAATATTTAAAATTTAATATTTGATACATTAAAATGGTATTGAATCTTTAATTTAATTTCAGAAATATCTACATGTTACATAACAATTAAAAAATTGTATAATATATAATTATGCATATTTATTAAGACTGAATTATTTAAAAACTAAATTGAATTATACAAATGTGTACAAAAACAGGAATATTTTATGTCTTTATTACACTTCACCCAATCCAAATGGAGGATGCTTGTTCGTTTTCAAGTAATACACTCCTCTTGTACTAAAAAAAAAAAAAATGAACAATGATAAAATATCAAAAATATATAAATAATTATTAAATTGATGTCTTTAATAAACAATTAAGTACAAACAAAGGCATAACTATATTTATTTTTATAAATTGCTAAGCAACTAAAATCTACCTTTTCTGATGTAATGACGAATAATGTAAAAAATAAAAATAATATTGTAAAGCTTTCTATAACTCTATACTATATTATTTATTTAAAAAATTGAAAAGGACTTGATGAGGTTGCAGCCTGGTTTCTTGGGGCTACAACCCCTGTTTCTCTTTCCTTTCCCCCCCCCCTCGTCGGACTTGCACAACTTGTATATTGTTGCTAATTAATAAAATATTCCAGTAGTTATTGCCATATTCAAGAAAAATTACCTTGTCAATAGTCCCTCTCCCATGTAGACCACATTTTCAATTTCACACGATTCCTTATCATTCATGTAGTCGTCCCAGCTCGAGCAAGGAACAGCGGGGAATGCTTTCTTGTTTGTTAGACTCTCAATGTAATAATTGTAACCTCTTCTATGACTGCAAAGCCCTACAATAATTGTCAATAAAAGTGGCCATGACAACAGGGAAAATTGAAAGTTTTTTTTTTATTTCTTAAAGACATTTACAACTGTATTAAATAAATACATCTAGTAAATTAGAACATAATGTACATAATCAGATGAAAAACACTTGCTGAGTAACTACCCAATGGTAGCACTCTAATGATATGTTTACATTAGGAGATCATAGGGCCATCTTCTTTTCAGACGCCTCCGAGGGTTATCAGGAATTGAATAGGAAGCAAGGTTAGACAAGAGAGGGTTGGGATGATTCTGAAGTTTATTATGGAAGGATAGGTATCTGGATTGGGTCAGATCTGAAACAAAAGGAACATTAAGGTCATTATGGATGGTTTTATTTGTAATAAAGCACTAGCGGATCCAGGATTTAATTTTGGAGGGGGGGAGCTACAGCCCCGAAGCTTTTTTTTTTCATATATATATAACGATAATTACTTTAGAAAAACAGAAAGATACTCACTGTCTATATGAAATGGTGTTTAAGTGATTCTTGAAGTCCTATTAAATGTAATTAAACGAGCAATAATACTTTAAGATATAATTTTTTAATATTTTTTACCATAAAACATGGTTACATTTTACCATTTTGGGGGAGGCTTCAGCCTAGTATGAGGATTCCAAGTTAGTCGTTTGTCCAGGTGGAGTCCTAGGTATCGGATTTGATCAACAGGAATAAGTGGAGTATTGTTAAAGAAAACTGTAGGACAGGAAGTTGTTGGTTTACGACGAAGGGTAAAGGTAATTTGGTGGGATTTATTGGAGTTTATTTTAATTCTCCAATTTTGACACCATTCTTCTAGATTTATGATGTGTTATTGAAGCATTTGGGATGGAAAATTAAAAGTGAAGTGGGGTAAATGCAACAACTGGGCAAGTATGGCCACGTCTGGTTTTTGTCCTAAAATATTATTATTTTTAGAAAAAAAAAATGCTTGGTTTCTAATTTTGGAACACATTATTTAAAATACACCAAATACCATGAGAAAATCCAGCTTATATACATAGTTTTTTTATTTAAAAAATTATTAAATTTTCACATGAAAGTTCGACCATGAAACTTTTTTTGTATTTTGACTTTCAGCCCAGGATAACTTTGATATAGGCAACTTTTACAATTATGGCAAAATAATTCTCATGAGTCTCAATAAGGCAACATTCTAAATTTTATTGTAACATTCCAGTTTTTAAGCAGTGGACTATATCTTAAGTGATTGGTGGGTTAATGATAGTGCAAAAAAGTAGCTTACCATCTATATGCCAGCCTACATCTTTTTTACCTTGGAGGGCCCTCCGCCGTCGGCCCTTGCAGGTTCAATGCTGGTCAGGTAGTGCCTTCAAGGCTTCGAGTCTCTCTCAAAGCTTGTCTTATCTTTATCTTTTAGATCTGCCCTCACTACTCGCCGTAACGCGGGGCATTTAAACGAAAACTCCTCTTTGGCACAACAAGATATTAAAATGCAAACTTTGTATTTATATAAAGTTTAATGTGTAATTTTCAGAAATATAGCTTATTTTGTTAATGGGTTAATAATTTTAAAAAGAGAGCACTTGCCCATTTTTGCACACGGGGTAAGTGCAGCCACGGAGACTGGGGTAAGTGCACTTGCATAGTAAATAGTAAATCTTTCTCAGTTTAGCTAAATATAATCAAGAAATTACACAAAAACCTGATTTTTAAATTTTACCCATTTTCCCTGTCATCCCCGAGTTGACTCATGAAAAAGTTCTTATCTCCCAAACAGTTTAAGATAAAAAATTATGGCAGAATCAATGAAAGACAGGTTATAACACACTTGCCCCACTGTTATTTAGATTGCTTCTTATGGAGAATCCTAGAGTGAGGTTGCAATGATAAGTGCAACCAGTGGACATGAAAATTTATAAATAAATTTTTAAAATTTAATGGTCGTAAACCAACAACTTCCTGTCCTACAGTTTCCTTTAACAATACTCCACTTATCCCTGTTGAGCAAATCCGCTACCTAGGACTCCACCTGGACAAACGTCTGACTTGGAATCCTCATACCAGACTGAAACGACAAGAAACCGCTTTCCGGTTACTCGATTCCGATTACTTCATCACTTACTAGACAAATGCCCTAAAGTTCCAATTAATTACAAAAGACTCATATACATGACTATAATAAGGCCTATTTGGACTTACGGAGTGGAGCTACGGGGCTCCACTAAACCATCGAATTCCTCTCGAATCCAATCCTTATAATCCAAAATCATTCGTAAAATCCTCAATGCTCCTTACTTTGTTACAAATAAAACGATCCATAATGACCTTAATGTTTCTTTTGTTTCAGATCTGGCCGGCCCAATCCAGATACCGATCCTTCCACAATAAACTTCAGAATCATCCCAACGCTCTCGTTTCTATCCTTGCTTCCTCTTCAATTCCTGATAACCCTCCGAGGCGTCTGAAAAGAAGATGGCCCCGTGATCTCCTAATGTAGACATATCATTAGAGTGCTACCAGTGGGTAGTTACTCAGCAAGTATTTTCATGTCATTATATCCATATGTTCAGATTTACTAGATGTATTTATATAATGCAGTTGTAAATATCATTAAGAAATAATAAAAAAAAAAATTTACTTAAAATGGTAAAAATATTGTAATTGCAGGGTATTGTAGCCAGATAACCCTAAATACTGTTTGTTGAGTTGTTTTTCCATATTCCTAATAATTATCTCACAGTAATAGTTTAAAAATGAAAAAAACAAACCTGGTTGCACTTACCCCACTTCACCTTATATAATTTTATTTGGTTATGTATTTCAATCTCAGTTTGAAGAAATATTTGTTTCGCTTATTTTTAAAGTAAATCATGATAAAATTTATTATAGGCAGGTAACAAAAAAGTTTTAAATATATACCAGAAAAGTCTAACCCGCAACCTGGCTGCATGAAGTTCCCGCTGTTGGGGTAGAAGTCTGCATGTCCAATAGGATCATTGAATCCAAGGAATTTTGCGCAGGTGTGGATCACATCTACAAAGATGGCACTTTTCTCGGACAATCTTTCATCTAGTTTGTCCAATCTGAAGAAGGGTCCAGCGGGATCCAGACCTGAGATTCCGCATTAGTGTGAGTCTGAATTGAATATAAGACCAACGAGAATCTAGATCTTAAAATATCTCGAATACCTGTTATCCTGCCGATCTTCCCAGTGGTGACCTTGTAGCCTGCGATACCGGCGATGTGTGCACCCAGGCTGTGTCCCAAAACGTGTACTTCCTCGAGCTTCACACCATACAACCTGTGGAGGAAGTCCAAGAACTCAGCAACAATGGTAGCCACATCCGGCACCTTATACCTCGCCACAGGGTACAACAAATGTTTTGCGCCATATTCAAACCAGTCTACCGTTATCACGTTCACATCTTCATTGTTCAAAAAGCCTGGTGAATGTCAAGTTGGTCGTTAACTGCTACATGTTGTAAAGTTATCTTTAGTTAAATAAAACATATTCACCTTTCGTCACATCTATGCTAAAATACTTGTCACCTTTCCCCAACCAACCATGGATGATGACTTTGAGTGGTTTGATATTTTTAAATCTGGGCAATAAATTGCTGGGATGGGCAGATACTATATAAATGTCTGGTTCCGTAATAATTTCCCTATTGAAAAAATTCGTTAATAAATAAAAATCTACATTAATTCCACTTAAGCATTATAAATGTGGCTTCCTGGGTAAGAATCACTTATTCTGTATTTGAAGGCACATACACCTGTTAAAACATTAAACTTCTCTATGTCATGAGCTATACTTTTTTCTTTATTGTTTATACAATTTTCTACAAGCTTTTAAAAATAATTTACATTTTCGAAAATGAAATATTAATTTTATAATATAATTAACAGGAAACGTTAATTTATATCGGAATTTTTGTAACATAGAATAGAAATAACAGGATCCTAATCATCAATTTTTATAATAGTGAAAGAATAATTGACAGTTGGCACTAGCGGATCTACTACGGTGAGGGAGAGAGATTTCAGGACAAAGCTCCTCCCATAAAATAGAAAAAAAAAATTTTAATTGGTCCATATTTGTTTACGCGGGTGCTCTAAGCTAAATACATAAAAAAAAAAATAACAATATGCGCTCTTTTAAAATTATGCATCTATTAAATGTAAACTCGTATCAAGAAAAAAGTTATTATTGTTCCTTTATTATTTCACGACTTTTTACAACATTGGTCATCTGACGTCACTAAATATAAGTTTTTGCCATCTTCTTCTGCCCAGTCAGTCTTCATCACGCATGACTCTGTTCATCATTCCTTCCTTTACGCCCTCATACCAGTTTCTCTTCCGGTGACCTTTCTTCCGTCTTCTTTCTGCTTTCCAATCGCAACTTCGCTTAGTCCATCGTCCCTCTTCCATCCTTATCACATGCCCATAGCAAGCCTCATAGTTCCAATGGTGTGGAGGATGTTCTGCATTTATTCTGCTCGTTTCATTATTTCACAGTTTGGAACTTTTTGAAGGCGGGGGACACCTTTTTGACATGAGAGACACGTTCGTCTCCAATAGTTCATTTCTAGGGCCAGTAATCTTTTTGAATGACTCTCTTTAATTGCCCAAGAACACTGCCTTACAGTACTAAATCTAAGGTTCTGAGGATTATCATTCCGTTGCTTATCCTCTTTTCAAAATCCATATCTGATTTTCCTGTCGTATTCACCCAGCTCCCTATATACTTAAATTGAGCTTCAGGTTTCAAAATCCAGTTGTCTGATTGTATATATTCATTTTGGTTATTAAAGGCCATATATACAGTTTTTTCTACGTTGATTTCCAGCCCCCAGATAGAATCTTGCTGGAGAATTTTTCTCATCATATATTCCACATCTTTTGCTTCTGAAGAAATTAATACCTGATCGTCAGCAAACTGGAGATTGAATTGGCAATCATTTCCAAACTTTATGCCCATAACTCTACAGTTTTTCTTCCATTATATTAGTGCCCTTTCTACATAAATGTTAAAGAGAAGCGGAGACAGTGCACATTGAAGTCTTCCAGGGTTCCTTTGTTTGCGTTTTATTTATTTTTTTAACAGACCTTCAAGGAGCTTTTGAATATCATTTCATATAGATAGTTTCTTTATTTTTCTTATAGAGTAATCAACGTCGTTAAAACAAAAATAAGTAAATAAAAAAGCTTCCGCAATCCTGGATTCCTGGATTCGTAAGTAATATGGTTGAGGAGTTATTTGGGGATTGCTGTCACAATGTTGGACACGCTTTTACCCAACCTAATTTATCCTTTTCATTCTTCGAATTCTCTTATCCTTATCTCAAATCACAATTCAATAACTTTTCCTACCTCTATAAACATTAATACCTCATTCAGAACCCTCAAATGTCGCTCTAAATCGATCTCATTGATAAGTCTCTCAACCATATTTCAACCCATTAACTCCTAATTTTCAACATCTACATTCAATTTTAAAAAATGTTTACTTAATTTAAATATCGGAGAAATGATCCATAATATTCATTATCTTAATAAAAATATTTTAATTCTTACTTATCTATTAAGTTCTATCCTAAATGACGATAATATGAAAAATCAATTTATTTGTATGTTTATTAATTCATTTAAACACAGTAAAAAGGGGAGCGACTAACCCGTTACGGACAGTTACGTTTCCGTCTGGGAAAGGAACGTAACTGTTACATTATTCGGCCTTAATTTACAAGCTCCATTATACAGATTCTACTTACTCCCGTTTACGGTATATACATTTTCTATTTGCTAAAAACAATTTGACGTAAATAAAGTAGATACTACCTATTGTAAAGAAAGAATTTTACATTGTTGTTCGATTTATGAAAATTGATGATGTCTGGGAAATGGAATCCAAGATCTGAAAATTGTGAAAAAGAACTTTAAAAACTAATAAATAAATAAAAATGAATGAAAATATATTATTATCAGCCAAAACCTTCAATAATTATTATAAAATAAATAATAATCTCTTCGAGCATTAATACTTCCTTTAGATACAATGTACTATATAAGATGCAGGAATACGTTCTACGCATGATTTGATAAAAAAAAAGCCTATCAACCGTCATCCGATTTTGATGGTTTCGCAAAAAATTATTTTTTTTTTTAATTCTCGACTTTTTTATACTTAAATACTTCTATCGAAAATTATTTGACTGAAGAAATAAAACTTACAGATCTACTACAATAACAGAATAGAAAAAAACTTTATTCTAGGACAAGGTCCCATAACAATAACTATTATGAACAAAAAACAAAAACCATATTTGTCCAAAAATTAAAGAATGTATACAATATCTTGAAAAAAAATTATGAAAAATGATTTGAAAAAAAAAACAACTAAAAAACATTAATGAAATGACAAGAAAAACAGAAATCAGGGAAAATAAAAAAACAAAATGTTATAAATTTTATGAGTTGATTCTTAAAATTAAAACTATAACTATTTCAACAATTATTCAAGTCAATCAAAATTTATTTTATGATTGTACAGCATCATTTTGGGATGTCAGAAGAAATTAAGAGGAATGGCGGATATCAGATGGTAAGAAATTCCAGAAGTCAGTGGTCGGTAATAAAGATATGTTCAAATGTTTTAGTTCTATGGGAAGGGTTATAAAGGTCGGAAACACGAGATCTTGTTTTGTGGTAGTGGACAACAGGTTTGAATTGTAGGAGACTGTAGATGTAGGGAGGGTGGCGGGAGTTGGTCATTTGGAATAATTGTATATAGTTGGTAATAATAATAATATAGTTGATAGAATGAAAAATTGTGCGAATAAAAGTTATCATAGATTGTTGTGACTCCATTTACATAGCGCAGATTATTAAATATTATTAGATATGGATTTTATGTATAGTTTGAAGAGAATAATTATGATCAATGTAGTCAAAGGCTTTTGAAAGTCAAAAAGAACAAGGATTGCGGTTTTCCATTGGTCTGTAGAGGAATCAAAGTCTTCAGTTATTACAAACGCTTCAAATAATTTTTTCGAATCACAAAATGTTAACGTGCTACTGAATTATGGTAGGTCGAATATATGAAAACTCGCATTAATTACTCATCAAAGTGCAATTGGATTAAAATAAAAGTCGTTGCAGTCAATTCATTGGTAACAAAGACAATTAGTAACTATACAACATGATCATAATTATTTTTAGATCCTTCAAAATTGTTTAGTAAGCTCTTTAGTAATGATAAATGAAGGTGTTCAGATTACCTGGTCTCGATTTTGATCCATCTTCCGCAAGCAGGAGGACCTGCAACGAACAGATCCACAGAAAGAAACCCAAAGGGAAATGATTTCCATCCCAGAGAAAAATTCGAAAGGTAGTAAATTATAGTTGTCAAGCTTACTTTAGTATAGATGCCAATAAAAATACGCCTGTTTACTTATTTCTCAATCAATCATTAAAAATGCTAACATAATTAAATTAATTAATTATATTTACAATATTAAGCAAATTAGTATAGGAAATCGGAAGCGGTTAAGCCCTGATTCATCTATTAAAAAAAAAACTACGATTTTTTTTATTATTATATATTGTTATATTACCTTAATATAGCACATTATTTCTCTAAGCTGTTTTTTTTTTGTTGCATGCCGTATCTTCGTTAATTCTTCTTCAAATCCAATGATTCGTTGTGTGCCATATCTTCGTTAATTCTTCTTCAAATCCAATGATTGAGTCATCATTTTGAAGATTACCCACCTGAGGTGGAACAGATAGATAATCCATAGAGAAGTGAAGAAAAAATGTATAAAGTAAAGGTAACTTTATTTACTCACAAGTCAAAAAGTATATAATTCATGTTTGATTAAACCCATGATAATTTGAAAAGTTGCTAACTTCCATAGATATTATTATATTATATAATATTATATTAAGAACAAATTCAGAAAAGACACGTTTTGTGAAGAAAAGAAATAAAATGCGTTTTTGACCTGGGGATGGTTTTCAAAATATTTACCTTTAAGAAAGTTATACATATTCCTGAATGATGGAAATCTGTTGGAGATAAGTCTGGCGAACAAGTTGTGTGTGACTTCGTAACACAGCTCATTTAGTTTCTTCACTGTCTGTCGTGAAACATGAGATCAGGCGTTGTCGTTTAACGGTATAGGTTTCTTCCAATTAACTAATGCAGTATGTTTTTAATAAGTTTTTGATTCATTGTGTCAATATCACTGTGGTACGATGTGGATGTGACGATTTCAGCTCTGGGTAAAAAAATAGATATGAATTATTTCTGCCATTGGCCACCAAATAGAAACCAATGTATTTTTGGATGCGATTTCTTTTTCAGACCACCGACAAATGGTCCGTTCGTAATAACACTCTTTCCCGAACGCTGTAGTAATGTTTCTTGCTGCTTGGGGGCGACCGAGTTTCTAAGTTTAAACTCATTAAAAAAACACCGAAAATCGCGTGATTCCATAGTCATATTTGATGACATACTAAACAATGTGCAATCAATCGAAATGAGAGTAAATATTATCAAAAAATATAGGATTAGTAACGATTTATTATAATCTCTAAAGATAAATGTAATCAGCATGAGTCCACTAATCCTCTTTGAATTTCTAAAATAATATATATCGACATTTTATATGAAATGATCTAAGAATCATTATAAAATAAAATAAAAATATAGCTTATTTTTTTTAGTAAAATTTAAATCGATAAATAATAAACTGAACAATGAAGAAATACTGATAAGAAATTATTAATTGAAAATTCTGCATATTATCACACAATAGTTTATTATTTCCAATATTTATATATCAAATTATTTATTTACCTTTCCACTTAGAGAAAATTAATTAAAGATTTTTACTAATATTGGCATGCATAAGATATTTTATTATTATTATTATGTACAAAATATATATATATCGGTATGATATTTATAAAGAATGTTTTCTTGTTCAATCATTTATTCATTATTCAGTTATATGGCTTACAGTTAGTTAACATAAATTTGTGTTTACGTATTGCATATTAATTATGAAGAATCTGTTTGATGTTAAAGCACTAAGGAATGTGCAAATGGCAATACAGGATTAGGTTGTTCATTCCTTGACATTTTTATTAGCACTGAATGTAAAATAATTCAAAAACACATCTTACAGTGAAAAAAAAAACATGCACGAAACTGAATTAAAATACCTAATAATAACCATGAAATATAAAATTTAGTATTATGAGTAAAGATTAATAAAATTTTTAACCTTTTTGTTGGTGGTAAACTCAAATGTCATAAAAAATAAATAAAAAAAAGATAATAAATAAATAAATTTAAAATCTTATGTTAACTCTGTGTTCTACTAGAAGATTTCCCCATGAAACTAATAAGCTTTCCAAAATTAGTTTAAAGTGATATGACAATGGGCTATACTATTAAACTAAAAAACCCTCAAAATGTATCTATGACAAAAAAATAAGAAAAAAAAAAGTAGAAAAAGCTAGACACAAGTCTAGTCAAATCTGCTTTCAAACAAAGGTTATGGATAAAAATAGTCTAAAAAAAAAAACACAAGCCCAGGTGATTTATCAGATTCAAACCAATCTATTGTGATTAGAACTGATTGTTTTCTTTACTTTGTAATTGAATTTGTAGTCTTTCCTTTATAAGAGTATAATCGAGGATAAAAGTGAATAAACTCTCCTTTACATCACACATACATCTTGGGGTCTTATTCCCAATTTTCAAAACTAAATAATTCAGCTTATTTACCATTTATTATTTTATCTACTTCAACTATTTTCTGATCATATTTTAATAGATTGATAGATGGTGATCCAAAGCACTTGTTACGGCATATAGGGAGCACTCCACAATGTCTAATTCATCAGCATTCACACAAGCCTCTTTTGACTCTGGCATAGTATGGCCGAAAAGGTGAGGAAGAGAAAAAAAAAATTATAAAGACAAAAATATATTTATATATTTGAATACATTCCACTGCCATTTCAACCTTTTTTAATCAAATTTAAAACAATTGATTAAGAAATATAATTATTGTTTCATCAGTACTATTCTTATATTAAAAAAAAATTAAAATTACATTTTTTATTAAATACAAGACAGTAATGTAAGGCTAAAAATATCACTTCATTTGAAATTCAACTTTCAGATTATTTGTGATGTTACATAAGAGTAAAAAAATGAATTATTTAAAAATAATAAAAAGCTTGATTCAAAAATAATTTTCTTGCTTGTCTGTTTGTTCTCTTCATTACACTTTACCCAATCCAAACGGACTTTCACCATTGGTTTTCAAGTAATACACACCTCTTGCACTGTAAAAAAAAAAAAATGTACATATATTTTTACAAATATTTTATATATTTATGTGTATAATAAAATTATATGATATTTATTTAAAGAATAGTGTAGATACATCAGTTAGATAACTGAGGAGATAATTCAATATATACATTATCCGGTATAAATTTGTTTTTATCTTATATTCCTAATTCTAAAGGCTAAGGTAATTAATTTCAAACAAATATAGCTTAATGGAATGGATAAAGAAAGCTCAGAGTGATGAGATAAAGAATAATAAATGTAGTGAGGATCTGAGAACACTAAAAATGAATTTTATGAAACGATTAATAATTTTTTCAGTCTCATCTCATGCTCACTGAATCATCCACCATATACTAGGGACCCGTAGTGAAATGGGGGTGAATGAGAGAAGAAACTAGAAGATGATCGTTACTTCGGTAAAATAAATCACAAAATCTCATGAGCTGTTTACGGATTGAGTTGGGTTTTTGAGTGATTTCTATAATCAAGCTTCCTATTACTTGAATTATTAAAAATATCTGGTAAAAAATTGTGAAAGTGCTGGTTTTGTTTTCTTTCATACAATGTGAGTTATGATTTTTTTCATTTGTTTGTTGAGTTCCTTTTGTAAAATGTGTGATCAATCATTTTTAATTTTTGTTGTTTGTTTTTTGTTTGTTTTAATTTCATGTACGGTTTTAGAATTTCGCCACTTTGTATTAGATAAGTATATGTCTTCTTAAGGAAGATTACCTTGTAGATAGCCCTTCTCCCATGTAGACCATCTTTCCAATATCACAAGATTTCTTATCATTCTCGTAGGCTTTCCAGCTTGGACAAGGAATAGCAGGGAATGCTTTCCTGTTTTTTAGGCTCTCTAGGTAAAGGAAGTAGCACCTTATGTGACTGCAAGCACCTGCAATAATTTTCTATGAGTATCATTAAATATATGATAAAATAACCAATGACAACTTTGTAAAAATAATATATCTCAATAATTTGCTTTGAAATTTCATCACGAATAATCAAATATATCTAAATAATATAAATTTATTACATAGTGTGATAAGACCAGTTGTGATAAGAAAATCTCATATTTAAATTATAACAAGGGTGGAATACTTCAATGTTTGGTATGTTTCATAACAGTGACAGTATTAATTTAAATAGGTTTATTCATAAATATTATATTTGTCTCACATATTCTTGATAAATGTTTTTGTTCACATTTTAGATTCCAAATACCACTTATTCATAGCAGATGGCCAAATCTTCTTAAAACTAAGCCTTAAAAATGTTTTAATGCCATTAAAGAAGTAATGCAAGAAAAGGTCTCACACATGACCATCCATAGCAAGATTGATCTAAAGACTAATGATAGGCTAAGAACATCCAGAAACACCCTGCACTGCAGCTGTGTTAATCCATGTTTCTTGATAAGTGTTCAGGTATAGTTAATAGAAATTATAAGAAAATTTGTGTTTTAAAAATTAATGCAGAGGCATTTGACAGTGTCTGGCACAAGGGGCTTCTCTTAAAAATCAAAACGATACTTCCTTTCACAAACAAAAATCTTTCCTCTCTAATAGGCTTTTTTCTGTCTGATTAGGTAAACAAAACCAAAAAGTATTATTTTCTTGAAATAATGCTCTAACCTTCTACATAGCATGTAAATTTTGAGAATTCTTTTGTTAGCTTACGTTTTTATAGCCGGTATAATAGGATTAATGACTGAATCGATTTTATTAATGGTCAATATGGTTTATAATCCTGTTTAAAGATTTGTTTATTGTGACAGAATACAAATTTGATGCAAGTGACACAATGGTATGGATTTGCATTTAATCACAGTTTTAGAATAATTTGTAATAATGTATTTTACATTTAAATATTACGAATTACAAATATTTCTGAAATAAACTCAATAAATTATTTAAATATAGTTATTTAAAATAACTATATTAGAGATACAATATTTTTAAATACCATTAAATATAACTATAGAACGTAACACAAATTTTTAATTAGTAAATAAAATAATAGTATTAGACATGAACCATTGTAATATAAATATTTCTCAATCAAGTCCCCTACCTAAATAATAATGCAAATATTTTCATCATAACGGATTTCCACTCTTTATAATCTGTTGTATTAGCCATGGATCGACTATTCTAGAGAATATCTATGATTTAGAAAGTGGTACCTAATCCATAAAAAAACTCTAGCAGATAAAGTTAATCCTGCCTCATCAGCATCATTATCCTAGGTTGATTTGTTAAAGCAGCCTTTTTAATATAAATATACATTCATTGAAACTGTGTCTATTATATTCATAAAGTGAAAAAATATATTGCTAGAGAATAATAAAATAATCTTGGTAAAATTACAAATAGATAGGTACCTACCAAGACAGTTTTAAGTACTTACCATATATGTCAAATCCGCAACCAGGCTGTCTGAATTTTCCACTGTTAGGATAGAAGTCTGCATGTCCAATTGGTCATCGAATCCTAAGAATTTTCCACAGGTGTGGATCACATCTACAAAAATAGCACTGTCCTTAGACAGTCTCTCATCAGGTTTTTCCATGCTGAAGAAGGGTCCGGCGGGATCTAACCCTGCAATTTCAAAGTTAGTATGAATTAGAATTAAATGAAAGACCATTGAGAATATAATATAGAATTTAGTATTTATTCTGAGAAAGTGTAATTATTAAAATTTATATATTTTCTCATCTTTTTTTTTTTTTAAATTTAAATAGTATTTGCAAAGATCAGCAAACGAGTTAGATCTTAAAGAGAAGAAAATTTTAAAATAACATTATAAACAAAATAGATGATGACAGGTTTAATTAACTTACAAGTTCAAAATTATGAAACTTGGATCCAAACAAAAACACATAATTAAATCAAGAATATATTTTTTAAATTAACTAATTTATCTTTTCATTTTTTCAACTTAACCACAGGGACAGTGGAGTTGTTACTTATTCTATCAATAACTATAAATATTGTAATGGCCGCAAGTAACAAAAAATTCATCGTTTCACAAACATCAATAGCCAATTGATGAAAATTTGTTGTATATTACATAAAATAATTGATTCTTGTTCTTTTAATTTAAATAAATTATATTCTAATTTATACCAAACAGAGATAAAGACATACTGTATTTTCTGAATGGAGGTGCGAAAAATTACCGAATGAATATGTGTTAATATCATAATTCATTAAAAATAATTTTTTAAATATTTTCTTTAAAAAGTATAAAACAGAAAGTATCAACAGTTCTTTTGATTTGTACCCAGATTCCAACACTAGATAAGATGACATCAGTTTGCACAAGTATATCCAAGACCCGCTCCTCCCCTCCCCCTTACCTTCTCGGGCATTATTATTATTTGGCAAACATGTAGATAAACCTCTAGATCAACTCTAATAATTACCTGTTATCCTGCCGATCTTCCCAGTGGTGACCTTGTAGCCTGCAATACCGGCAATGTGTGCACCCAAACTGTGACCCAAAACGTGTATGTCTTCGAGCTTCACACCGTATCGCTGATTGAGATTGTCCAAGAATTCAGCAACGGTAGCTGCCACTTCGGGAACCCTACTCCTCGCAATGGGATACAGCAAATTCGTGGAACCGTCTCCAGACCAATCAACCGTAATCACGTTCACGTCTTCATTCTTCAACAAGCCTGGACAACATTAAATTTCATTAAGTAAATCTTAAACATCATAAAGTGATCTGTAGTTGAATAACTCTTATTCACCTTCTCTGATATTTGAACAAAAACGTTTGTCATCTCTTCCCATCCAACCATGGATAACAACTTTGAGTGGCTTATTATTTCTAAAGTTGGGCAATAAACTTCGGCGGCGAACTAAGGCATGGAAAACAGCTGGAGTCGAATTACTTTCCCTTTAAAAAGAAATAAATAATAATCTACATATTCTACAATCTACTATCAGAAAAACATTTTAAAAATGCATTTATTCTATATTTGTACACATAAGCACTAGATAAAAATAACATGTCTCTGTGATTTAGATGATGTGTCATGTGTTTTTAATTATTCTTACAGAATTTTAAGAATAATTTAAGTTTCAGTACAGGAATATAGACTTTGAATTGAAAGAATCAATCGATATTAATTTACAGTGCCGGCCTTAGGGTGGGGCAGCTAGGGCAATCGTCCTGAAGCGAACAACTTGGAGTGGCCGAGCGCTCATTGGGGCATCGGCCGATCTTCAGGGACACTCGCCACTTGTCACAAATAAAAAAAAATATGAAACATAAAAAAATAATAAATTTTAGTCTATCAATAAAGCAACTGTATTAGAGAAATGTTGAATTAAATTAAATTCAAATATTACACATAAAACATCTTAAGAAATAAATTTAATTTTTTAGGAGGGGGTATGGATTGTCCGTGGGCACTGAATGTTTAAGGCTGGCACTGTTAATTTAATATTTATTTAATAATAAATAGGGATTAATTAACCTTATAGTGAGGAATTTGAATCATAAAAAGTTGTTTGGCCTGATAACAAAAGTTTTAAGTCATACATATTCTAAAAAAAACTTAATACTTCTGGAATAAAAGTAAAAAAAAAAAAATTATTTTGTTTGGTCTCAATTTTCACCATATTAACCAAACCAATCCCCCTTTGGGGTTCATAATTTAACAGTGTGAAATAAAACTATAACTATAAAAAATAAGTATATACAACCTGTTGTAAAGAAAGAAATTTACGGAGCGATTTGAGTTACCAAAGTTGAAGAAGTTAGGGAACTGGAATCCAAGTTCTGAAAATGATAAAATATATATTAAGAACATTCAAGAAAATTAATAAAAATCATTAGTAAGCCGGAACGAAATACTATCCTTCAAAACCATCAAATTACTAGCATATAATTTATGATGATTGAAAGTATTAATAACAACTTTATTTATCCATATTGAATTGATAATTTAATTATCATCATCTTCTTCTTCTTCTTCTTCTTTGTCTTCCTTTTATGCCATTAGTTACCGTCGAGGAGCCTCAACCAGTGCAACCACTCTTCCCGGTCTCTGCTTAGTCGCTTCATCTCATTAAGGGTTTTGCCTCTTTTACATCCAATCCTTTGAATGTACTCCTGGAACGTGATTCTGGGGCGTCCGCATGGTCTCCTTCCTGTGGGTAGAGCCTCTAATATCCTTATAGGATTCAAATTCTCATTCATGCGGCAGACGTGTCCAAACCACTGGAGTTGCCGTCTTTCTAGAGTAGTTTTAAGTTCGGCAACTCCTAGCTGCTCTCTGATGCTTTCATTCCTAATGCGATCCCTTCTTCTCCCTTCTGCCAACAGATCTGTGAAGGAACCTCATTTCTGCTGCCGTTATGCGACTAGAGTGCCTGTCTAGCATTGTCCAGCTTTCTCCGCCGTAGGTGAGTGTAGGTAGGTAAACAGACTTATATACGTGCATATCATCATCTTAACATATATAAAAACTCTTCTTCATGTAATCTTTTTTTTTTTTATTGGTTTATATTGGTAGACAATTTTTGGAAGTATGTATACAAGAAGTTAAGTTATTTGGAATATCTTAATTTATGGTATCAAGAGCTACAAAAAGTTTACAAACCATAGTCCATTTTTACACAGAAAAGCAGAAAATTTAAGTTTTGTGTTGTTTTTTTTTTAATTAAGTCATATTTTTTGTTGAATAGTAAATGATAACTCAAAAAATGTTTACTTTAGGTAATTACCAATTACAACATAGTAAGTTAAACATCATTTTCATTACAAGTAGAATGTTTTCTTTAAAATATTCCTCTTCTCTGTAGGATTAGTCACCTGGGAAGACTAGGTTATTACTCCCTTTATGTGAAGGTGAATGCAGACATGAAGTACAATAATGTATATATTTGTAAATAGATTACTAATAGTAAAAATACTGAGTTCTGCTTGATTATATATTTATATCGCATGTATAATAAAATGCTATTATTATTAAGTCTATATTAATTAAACTAAAGATATTCACAGAATGAGCTGCAATCTCCCCACCAGTTTGATCAAAATATTTAGTGATTTGAAATTATTTAAGACCTTTATTTTTTGTTTCTGTAAATCATGAAATATTCATTTTCTCTTTAAAAAAAAAAAACTAAGTTGGCTATACTGTCATTCAAATCCTCTCATATATATTGTTTACACAAATTCAATAATTACAAAATCATTTTTAATCAGTATCGATATGCTGTATTTATGTAAAATATTATGTTTACCATAAAAAATTTACTGTCACCATTTTGCGTTGGAGTGCCTTATTTTACCAACTCAAATCAGACCACATGCTATCACAAGTAATTAATAAATATTATATTTATAATTATTGAATATACAGTAATTAATATAATTCTAAGGATATGCAGAGACAATTCGTTGCTATGCAGTTTCTCAGTAATGTCTGCTGGCATGTACTTCAAACATAAATTTAACATCAGTAATGATCGTAAGTCTGCAAAACATATAATCCTCTCTCAAAACATGTATTTAGTACTATCAGGCATTAATAATGAACTTTGTTTCATTCAAAGTAACTAGTGAAATGTTACGAAGATTCAATCTGATTCTAATTATTTTATAATCATTCTCGACTTTCTAATAAGTTCATTAGCAAAGGTGTGAAATGAAATAATTTAGTTTACCTGGTTCTGCTTCACTTTGTGCTAGCACGGAGACCTGCAACGAACAGATCCCCAGAAAGAAACTCAACACCAAATTGATATCCATCCGGGCAAAAAAATCCAGAAGTGAGTAGAATATTGTGATCAAGTTTATTTTAATATAGGTGTTTTGATGTGACGATGAATACATTTTTGTTTACTGACTTTTTAATTGCTCATTAAGAGTTCTGTTATACTTTAATTAATATCAGTATAGTTTAAAAGTAAACATAAACCTAATTATTAGAGGTAACTCTCATTAATCGAATTTAAATTAATTTATTCATACTATAATTAATTGTTTTATATTGCTCTTGAGTTAATTAGTTTTGCAGTAAAAAAATTAGTTTTGTCTAGAGATGTAAATATTGATAAACATCAAATTGATAGATTTTTAATATATCTAAAAACTATATCTGTATTTGTAATTATAAATATCAATACTTACTTTATCATATCATAAATTGGAATATTGATGAAAAATATCAATATTTTGAGCCTGTGTTCTTAATCTTTGTAAAATTGATTTAACATTAAATTGAAGTCAGAATTGTAATAGCTTTAATAGCAAAAATGAAATATTTACATTTTGCCAATCACAAAAAAAAGAAGAGTAATGTTACTAACACTTATAAATTGATTTTTATTCGACAAATTAAAATATAGATACATATATCTTATAAATTAGCCTCAACTTTAAAATTAAAAAAGAAAAAAATTAAAAATATGTAAGAAACCCAATAAAGCATTAACGTTTATTTTTTTTATAAAACTTGTTACTAACAATAAGAACTAGAGAAAATTATTTAATTAAATTACTTTACATAAAAAAAAAAATTAAATTTAATAAAGACTAAAACCTATAAAAAGAATTTATATTTCCATTATAAACCAAAAAAATAAAATAAAAAACTATATATTACTTAAATGTATTACATAAATAATATTATATAAACCTTAAAATTATATATACATAAATATAAATTAGGAGCTGTTCCAAAAAAAAAAATTGGGAACAAATACAAAAAACATGTAGTAAACCAAGTTTAAAAAAAAATTGTATCTGTCATGGCATATGAAACCAAACAATATTTTAGTAAACAGATATACTTATCAGTGTATTGTAATTTAATAAACAATAATATCATACTATATAAAAGAAAAGAGGAATATTAATTTGGCTCTAATCTAACCAAAATGTTTTGTCAGGGATAGAACACACATAAAATTAAATAGGCCATCACAAAAAAAAATTGAACAAATTGTACATATTTGCTAAGTAATCATAAATTAAACCGTTTAATGGTGATATCTGCTATTTCAATGATTAACTAGGAATGGTACAAAATTTATCAGCATTAGCATTAATTACAAAATAAATAAAGTGATTAATTAAAATGTTACATCATAATTTAATAAGCTGTCTGTTTTTATTTAAAAAGGGATATTCTTAGTGAAATATTTTTATTACTATCCATCTGAAAACACCATTTCTTTTAAAATACAGTACATAGAAAAATAATGACATATTTCTTTATTTGTTATTTTTTTTAAGAACGCCTATATTAATGTAATATATTGTATAAAAAAATGTTTGATACAAATAATGAATAGTTTTAAATCAGGTAAAAATACATATGTTTCAAAATATTAAATATCTGGCTTTTCTTATTAGACTCTTCATTACACATAGCCCAATCCAAATGGAGCGTTATTGTTCGTTCTTAAGTAATATTCTCCCCTCGTACTAGAAAAAAAAAAATAATAATATAAAAAAAACATAAATTATTTACAAGATTATTAAGAATAGTATTTCACTATTATTTGAATTTGTTTATGCACTAAAATTAACTAAGATGATAGCAAAAAAATAACAATAAATATACTATAATATTGAATATACATTTATATTGAAAAATCCCTTTAGAATAATATAAAATGATAATATTGTCTCAAAGCTACATAAAATGAATAACGAAATAAACAAAGAGAAATAATAAAAACTCATAAGTTGACTACTTACATTAATATTTTTTTTTTTTAAATTAAAGAAATGTGAAATACTAATATTTAAATACAAACTTATAATTTATATATATATACTTACAGAAACACCTATTTGCCAGTTTGGGAACTGGATGGGTAGGATGTGATTGAATAGGCGGGATTCAAAGGTGGGGAGGGTATTAGAGTGATGGACCCAGGCAGGGATGTACCAAAATTATTTTCTTTAATTCGTAAAATCTACCAAATTTAGATTTATCATTCTCGATATTGTGCAAGAAGTAGAATCCATTCACATTTCTTGTAGATTAGCAATTAGTTCTCAATAATTATTGTAAACAATAAATAAAAATACCTCCATGGCAGTCCTTCTCCCAGATAGGCGACACGACCCATATCACAAGATTGCTTATTATCCTTAAACTCTTTCCAGCTCGGACAAGTGACTGCAGGGAAAGCTTTCCGATTTGAAAGACTCTCAAGGAAAAGAAAGTAAGCTCTTCTATGACTACAAGAACCTGTAATAAGTATCATGAGTAACTGTTGAATATACAATTACAATTAAAATTATGAGAAACATTATCTGGATTTTCAACTGAAAATGATTTAGTTTTTGCATAGAAAATTATATAAGCATGGTAAATTAATTCCTATGAGCAAATTGAAACAAAACTTCAGATGTTTGTGATTGAATTTTGTCAATGTATTCACCACTAGTTTGGGTAGAGGAAGTTTTTGACCACTATCTATAAGATTTTAGGCCAATTCTAAATTAGTGCAATTACAAGACAAAATTCCCAGTGAAAACACATAATTTGGTATTACATCTAATAATTTAATAACTCGTACATATAATCATAAAAATAATCTGATATCTAAACCAAAAACAAGCAGAGCCTTATCCATCTATGCTATAACATAAATACATGAAATCAATTTTGAAAATATCAATATCCTACTTAGATTGAATTCTGGTCCAAAAAGAAAGGTAATAGAAACCATAGAAAGGTAAAATTAAAAAACATAGTTATTATAATCAGGAAAACTTAATGTAATCAAAGCTTAATACCAGCAACATCTCTAAGAAATATTCACAAATTATTAGCTATCTACTATGACTAATGTATAAAGAAAAACATCTAAGCATTATCAAACATGCCAAAAGCTTATCAAAACACAAAAACCCAACAAGTGATGTTTATTTTACAGTTATATATTTTTCTTCAACTTTCGTAATGCTGTGGTGTTTGTAAAGGGAAACTATCATTGATTGATAGTTAATTGTCCATTTCATATAACATAAAACTTCAAATTGTACATTGTGGTTGAATTTCAAATTGCACCATACACTTTTTTACACATTAAATAATGTTATGGTTTCAAAAACGAGAGACACATTCTCTTTGAATAGTGGGTTCACCATAACTTGTTTAGAAACCTACTAATACAATTTCAACTCCAAAAAAATAGTTACATGTTATGACAATAAAAAATATTTAAAAAATCATTAAAAGTACAAAAAAAATAATTAGGATATATTTAATAGATTAAAATAAATCATTCCTTAGTTTTTTTGTATTCCATTAGTTAACATTTTGCAAATTCAGTAATCATCAGAACTGAAAATACATATAATCCTGACCAATGACCACACATATCACATCAAAATTCAAAAAATGGTCCATCAATTAGACAAAACACATTACTCTAAAATCTATGAACTGACAATAAAAAGCAATTGTTGATTATGTAGCTAAGACATACCTTTTATGTCAATTCCACAACCAGGCTGTATGAAGTGTCCACTGTTGGGGTAGAAGTCCACGTGTCCGATTGGCCCATTCATTCCCAGGTAATTTCCACAGGTGTGGATCACATCAACAAAAAGGGCACTGTTTGGAGATAGTCTCTCATTGGGTTTGTTTTGACTGAAAAAGGGCCCAGCAGGATCCAGACCTGTAAATTTAAAACAAATATCACTGATGACATTGTCTTACTGAGGTAGAAGATGCCTTGATCTCCAAGTGCCTTGGCATACTGGATCTTTAAGAGGTATAAAATTCTGTACTTTAATTTACTCTATCTACTCCAATACCTGTAATTCTTCCTATTTTGCCTCTCTTCACCAAGTAACCAGCTAGGCCGGCAATATGCGCCCCCAGGCTGTGTCCTAAAACATGAATTCCCTCCAACTTCACACCAAATTGAAGGTTAAGATTGTCCAAGAACTCCGCAACCACTGCTGCTACCTCAGGTACCTTGTTCCTTGCCATAGGGTATAGTATATTCTTAGAACCTGCCTCACTCCAATCCACTATAATCACATTGATGTCTTGATTGTCCAACAAACCTAATCAATAATAACTTTGTTAGTAATTGTTACAACTCATAAAATGATCTACATTTAATAACAACTTTAATACCTTCCCGGAAAGTTGTACAAAAACGCTTGTCATCACTTCCCATCCAACCGTGAATGACAACTTTGAGTGGCTTGTTGTTGTTCCAGTTATCGAATAAACCAGAGCTCACTGAACTAATTTGCAAAATTTCTGGATCTGTGGGTGTTTGTCTACAAAAAAAGAAAAAAAATTATATAAACACCTACATTACTACATTTAAAACAATAAATAAAATGCTGTACATTGTTTTATTCCTTTGAACCTATCACTTTTGTTTTATTTTAGATTTTCCTTCAATACTTGATTATCAGATTTGCTTCCACTTTGCATTTCAAAGTTAAAGACCAACAGGGTCTGTTCTAGATAATTAGGGATATGCTTGTGTAAATATCAAACTGTATGTTTTTAATACTTCCTAATGATCTAGTAAAAAAATGGTGAATCTTCCCTTTATGTTCCTTGGACTGCAGTCCTGGCTTATTTTGCCAAAATCTTCTACCCACCACATCTGAAGTGTATGAAGAGTTAGAAAATCAGTGTTATTGTATAGAGAGCAAGGACAAAAAGGGGCCGGTTTAATTTCTAAGAAAATTTAATTATTGTAACCCAAGGAATAGTGTGAAAATTTGATATTAGTTATAAATTTTAAATCAGAAATTGATGTGAGAGAAGAAAAATTAATTAGGCTATTAATCAGCTATGCATTAAGTATTCTGAATTAAGCAAGATGTTAATATTAAAAATTATATGAAACCGAAAACTGCAAAAATACACATTGGCAAAAAAAAGTAGGTTTAAAACATTTGAAATTAGTCCACAAAACCTAAAAGTTGTATTTTTCATTTTTAAAAGCAATAAAAATAAAACGTCTTATACCATACCAATGACCAATAATAAAATACACATATTTTTTAAGTAGTAAATTTCATTGCCTTTTGACTTAATAATCTTCATGTTGGATTCCCTAGCTTGAATTTAACATGATTGATTATCATCCCATAACCTGTACCACTACAACCCATGAAGGGTCTGGGGCTCAGTACTATTTAGGGAAAGCACTGTTTCTAGGTCAACAGTTGTGCAAGGAGGTGATTTGACCGAGATCACGCTCAACCGCCAGGTTTTCCCCCTTAATTAATTATTTAATTAAGGGTACCCACTTTATAGAGGCTGGGTGTGCCCCAGGAGGGACTCCTAACCCAAGGTCGCTCCACGGCCAATGAAATAGATAAATAAATTATCTGCCATGAGCCGGGGTTCGAACTCGGGACCTTTGCATTGGAAGTTCAGTGCCCTACCACTGAGCTACCCCGCTCCTCATTATCATTATCATCCCATAAAGGAAATAATGTTATAATCAGAAAAGCGTGGGCAAGAGAAAATATATTATTGAAGATTGTGAGTGGTTGCTCAACTGTGTTGAGTTGCTAACTTACCTATAAGTCTTTTAAGAACAATAGTAAAACAAATAAATAAAATAAAGAATTTACGGAATAACAGATTCAAAACTTTTGATTACCAAAGTTTGTTAAATTCCATTAAACCAATAATTAGATCAACAACTTTCTATGCATTGCGGTTTGACTATCATCTTTTAATAACTATTAATATTAACTTGGTCCTGCAACATTGGATATTTTTGTGACTTTAATTAACTAAAAAAATGTATTTTTTTATTTAATTATTTTTAATTAAATACGATATAGATTTAATATAATGTTAAATCTTCAACATACCTGTTATACAAAAAAAATTTCACATTGAAGCCTGACCGATCTGAGGGTATTGTGTCTTCTGGATTGAACTGAATTGTGTCATCTGAAAGCAATAATCATAAAATTAATTTTCCTGGACAAAATAAAAATACTTCATTCATATTAAATTATTATTTAAAAATTAATATTAAATTTATTAACTTGATTATACCTTAATATAAAATCTTCATTTATTTTACATAATAGAGAGGTGAATAATGGAAAAGACTCAGATATGTATCATATAATAATTTTCAAATATATCAAAATATCAATAAAAATACCCATATTACAGGTCTCAATATTTCTAATCTTTTAAAGGAGAAGAGATTTATGATTAAAAAGATTTATAGATAACTTTTCAACATAAAAAAGAAAAAAGGGAAGAAATTCAAAATTTAATTATTAATAACTGAAACCAATAAATCTTATTAAAATACTAATTGTAAGAGAACAAAGTATTAACTATGAAATAAATAAAAGTAATTAAGCTAATATATTTGGATAGTTTATTTTTAAAATTATCTCATCCTGTGGTAACCAGTTAGACGGTTTTCCATGAAGAAATTTTTAATTTTAATTGTTTTCAAAAATCTGTTTTCGATAGTCAAATTTTAATATCAACTAGGATGTATCGAAATAAAACAAAGGAAAACATTTATCAATATTATTTTTCCTTATTTTATTTTGATACATCTAAATATGTATATTTCAATATATTTCCAACAAGTCCTACTATTTATCAATAAATAAATGTGTAAATAAATATATATATATATATATATTATATATTATATATATAATATATATATATATATATATATATATATTTGTTTCGCCTTTATAAAATTTAATATTACATGTTTTTGGAGTATTTTCAATATATACTTTATATAATTCTCTACAATCCGTCCTGTTAAAGTATGGTTAATCTCTCACCAAAGCATGGATTTAGGCAACAATAATAGAACGATAAGGTCAGATAAATCGGCTGTCGGAGCGATACTCGAATTATCGAACCGATACCGAGTGGATGTCTAGCTGCCATAATTATCGGACCATGTGAGTGGAAAGTAGACTTTCTACTCAAATTAAATTAGGTGTCACACCCAACTCAACATGTGTATTGCTATAGATAGAAATAATTCGATTATAATTACATAGTAAACATGCACTTTGATATGTGACCTTAAAATACCTGATTCTGCTGCATATCGCGCCAACACGAGATCTTGCGATGGGAAAACGCAGAGAAAGAAACCAAGAAACAAAATGAAATCCATCTCGTTTGAATCCTCAAACGGAAATGAAATGTGTTCATTGCTATCTTTAATATATCTGTGCCGTATTGTGACCGCATGTATAACGTCAGTTTGCCCATGGTAACTAACTATTCAATTCAATTATCTCATATTTGGTCATTAACAAATCTGAACGTTATTTGATCAATTAGTTAAAAAAAAAAAAACAGTTTTGTAAATATTTTTCAAGCCAATCAAAGGCAATTTATTACGGTAGTCAGGCTAACTTGGATGTAATAATAGAAGAAAAAAATATCGCTATATATTTGATCGATATTTTCCAAGCACATATATCGAAATAGTGACTCGATATCTAGAAAATAATACATATCGATATTTCAATATATCCGACCTCAATGTTTTTAATCTTTGTAAAGAATAGAGATGTAAATATAGAACAATTTATTCAAACGTAAATATTAATCTTTGAAAAAAGGAAAACAGAGAGTAGAAAAAACTTTTTAATCTTGAAAAAAAGGGGGAATTATCAATAAATTAAAATCTTAAGGTGTGTTCAGACATTTCGTAAACTATGGTAAACACACTTAGACACACCTTTAGATTGGTAATTAGTTTCGGCAATAAAATTTTTATATATGCTTTTAATAGAACCAATAAAATTATTAATATTAACTATTAACATTTTATTATGATTATTTAATTACTCAGCATTTTTTTTTAATGTATTTTTGAGGCTAAACAACAGAATAAACAAAGTATTATTATTATTACAAATATTTAATAATAATTGTGATAATTAGAGAAAAATAAATTAAATATTTCAATCTAAATAATGATAATGAAAATTTAATTATATGATTGAAACCTGTAGAAAGATTTTTACCACCAAAAAAAGAAAAAGCTTATTGTTAATGTAATATATAAACTGATAGTGTTCATAATAATCTCATTTTCACGTGCTAACCGGAGAGGGACAATATAAACAAAAAATAAATTTTAAGTTTTCGGGATATTTTTTTCATTTTGGATATATTCACGATCATATGCCGATGCAACTAACTATTTACAACACTTTTATTCTTGCCTGTAATCTTTTCTTAAATAATGAATTCGGTGATCAATTTTTTTTTCTTTTTTTTTCATCTGCTCATATAATTTGCAAGATTTTATCATAGTTCTTAAGATTACAAATAGTTCTTGAAAAGGTTGGTCAAGAAAGAATTTGGGACAGACTTACCATACGAGCAGGAGGAGCTATCGATAATGTTTGTTTGTTTTTTTGCTTGTCGATCCAAGACTTCTATTGAAGTCCTTCAATGTATTGATAATATAATTAACACATATAATAAATATGAGGGAACTAGAACGATTGTGTTCCATTCTTAACTGGAAACAGCAGTTGGCGTCGGAGAGTGGAGGGGGAGGGCAGATTTTTCTAGGCATTCCTAAAGCTATCTCTCCAAATTGGACAGAATTCTGCTTTTCTCATATTTGCGTTACGTATCTTTGCACTTTCATCAATGATTGATAAACTTAAGCTTACAAGATGAAATTTGTATTAATGTGTTTGTTTTTTTAGGTTCTTTGAATCTGGAGGTTGGAAACGATTTAATGATAAAAGTTTGATAAAATAGATGAGGGTATTGATATTTAATGCATTCAATGTCATAAAAACTGTCAATGGCACTTCTTTAATCATAAAAAATAATTGTAACTGTTTTTATTATTTAAAAAAGGATGAAAAATTACAATATTTTTTCATATCGGAAAATCTACAAATCGAATTTTCGTCAATATATCCTTGTGTCCTAGACATAGAGATTCGACTTGATCTAAGCTATGGCAGCATATGATGTAAGCAGTGCCTTCACAATCACCGACAAATAAAATCAACCGCTTTGATCAAAGACCCAGTTGGATGGGAATCAGTAAGTAACATATATTTCAGACTTGCGAAGCACATTCCATAATTTAGACATAAATCAAATATGAAGTTTGCTTATAATTTAAATATATATTCATGGACTATTTACAAACTATAAAAATATATTTGATAACCTTTAATTCTAATAATAAGTAAAATCATGTTGTGAAGATACTTGAAGTTGTGAAGAATAACTGCATTGATTATTTTTTTTCACCATTAATTTGGTAAATGATCTTTTATTATATAAATATATATATGAAATAAAATAATTTTAATTCATCATTAGTTAATTAATACCAATTAACGATATTCTTTAGAACCCATTTACATCCCAAAAGACCTAACATATAAAAATATAAAATTCTATTTATATCATTTACATCATCATATATGTTTTGTAAGGTTTCGGCCCTTTTAGCCATTTATAAACATTTATGTTTTACCTATTTTATACTGTCTGTCAGAAAATTATTAATTTTTTTTTTTAAGTTTTCAATATTATATTATGTAGATAAACTATTTAACTTGTCTGAGATAAGCATGAGAAATATGAAATATAGTGACAGTGTAAATAATGGTGCAGGAATAAGATAAATAGTTTATCTACACATTAAACAGGAAAGAGAATAAAAGATAGCTAACAAAAAGAAATTACTGACTGACAAAATGAAATTTTCTTCTTGTCTAGATAATATTGACAACTAAAAAAACAATTTTTAGATAAGTAGTGTAATATAAGTAAAACAGAAATGTTTGAAAATGGACGAAACCTCGCAAAGTAAATATGGTGATATAATCAAATAAAAGTTTAAAATATTTATGTGTTATGTATTTTTAGATATGAATAGATTCTAAAACATATCGTTAATTGATATTAATTGACTAATTAATTGACTAACGATAAACTGCAGTGATGTGGAAGTTAGATATATTTCTTCGATATCACGACCATAATTAATCCACATCATTACTTATTGTATGGCAATACCAAACTGGAAATTAGAGTGAACAGTTATAAATTATTGTTCTAATATATAAGGATGTGTTTTATTTTTATTTTAAAAATTAATCGAATTATATCAAATAAGTTACCAATAAAAACAAAACTTGTAACATTGTATTAAACAGCAAAGAGGTAAAATTTAGCTTTAATAACATGTGCGGACCGAAAGAATTATTTTTTAATCTGAATAAAGATACAAAGTAAAAAGAAGATTTATATTTTGATCAATTATTGTTTTTGTTTAATCCAACGAATGATCTTCACAGTAACTTTAATCTTTTATTATATTACGGTTTTTTGTTGGTACTCATATAGCAAGCTCCAAAGGTTTTATAAATTTTCTGAAATATATATATATATATATTAATATATATATATTATAAAATATTACTATAATAGCTTAAACTCCTAAACAATATAAAAAAAGTCTGCCAAGCAAGGTCAGTATAGCTTCCTCACCGTTTTCATTTCCTAAAAAATTTCTATATTAAATGTCTAAAAATTTTTTTATGAGAATAAAATCTCTGTAAGAAGCCGTTTTCGGAAATTCAATAATCCCTCAACATATACGGGCTTGATATTCACGAGTTTTGTTCATCAGTAAATACTAAAATGCGAAAAAGTTCCGCATTTCCTGATTGCATATTTGGTAATTCGTAATAAAAAAAAAATCCAGTGCATGCTGAATATGTATCTCGCTACTGTTAGTGCATATGATGTATATAAAAATCGAATGTTTATGGGAGAGCAAAAAAATTAATTATTTCTTTATGATTTATTAATATAATTTCATATGTTATTGCGCTCTAGTACTTTTCATAGTAGTAGACTACTTATATTAATTGCAGATTACATAATGTCAAAAATTGAATACAAATTGAAAACTCTTACATACAACTTTTGCACTAACAGTAGTGATATATACTTAATAGGTATGTTTTCATTCGTAAAATGGATGGAACAAAAAATCCATAGGAAAAATTCAACTTTTTTTTGTTCGGATTTGTACGAGACCAATACTTTTCTTCAGTCAGAACAAAACTAATTAAGCTGGAATATAAAAATATGAGACAAGTTGACACAATCATTTAATAAGAAAAACGAGACCACGACGAGCTGGTTGAACTTCAATGGAAATAGACACAATCAAAAAGAAGACATTGTTAATCAATTCTGAGCACAAATTTTTTTTTAACCTCTCGCACGAATACAGTGATCCCTACCTTCGGTAGTGAGGAAACAAAACGGGAAAAAAAATGAAATTTTAAAATTTAAGGAGATTTAAACTTTAATTATCCGATTAACGATGAGTGGTAAGTACGAAAATAAACTTTGATTTGTCCCTGTTTGCCATCATTAAAAATATTGGTGGCCAACAATTCAGATTTGGAGCTTGGAAGTTGTAAAAAACATGGCAGTAAAGTCAACCAGCAAGAGTTTTTGTGAACTCTACTGTGTAATGAGAACTGGTCAATCAAAGATGTTGACCATAGGCGGAAGGGGAGGACGATTGGTCCTCTTCCCCAATGAAAAAAGAGAGGGGGCAAGAATATCGTTTCGCTCCCTCCCTCTCCCTTCACCTCCCTGCCATATTTCGAAAATAAAAATACATAATAATTAATCTACATGAATATGGGTATATGTAAGTTAATCGGGGGAGGAAGGGGAGTTAATGATAGAGTTAAAAGCTCCCCACGGCACCAGGACGTGAACTCATTATTTTTCCTCGAAACTTCGATTATCAGGTTGCCGGACAACACGCGGTGTAGGACACACGCGTTAGCCCGCTCGACCACCTCGTCCCTATTTGATTTTTTCTTGAGGAGGGAAGCCCATCGCTCCCTCCTCCAACCAGAATCTAAAGTCAGTGCCTATAGTGTTGACTGTATCAGACTAAGTACAAAACTGATTGAGATATAGTAAGTAAAGGTGAAGTTGCGTTTTCTGACTACAATAGTTTCATGGAGTCTTTCTTATCCAATACCAAATAACCAATAAAGCACAGGAAACCTGTTTTTTTTTTTATTTATCGTGAATTGTGTTCTCTGTCAACTTAGGTACCCGAACCTGATCTAGTAATTAGAATACCTTTCTCATTCAACCTTTACCGAATCTTTCATTATTCTGACTATTTTTTTTTTTCGTTTCCTTACCTTATTCTGTCAGCAATAGCGTAATTTTTTTAACACCACTTATGTCTTCATCTTCAATTTAATATAAATG